GATGTTCTTTGTTTTTTCTTCTCTTTTTTTTCTTTTTTCTCAATCTTCTTGCGCTCTTTATGAACCTGTGTGAAGGATTGATTCACTTTAACTTCAGACTTGTCAATGTCTACCAATACGTCATAATATTCTTCTCTGTAGGCAAACATTGGATTACAAACACCTACAATGTATCCCTCTACATCTAAAAACTCCAGATTAGAAAAACTGGCATATGGAAACGTTCGAGTTTTCAATAAATTATGCATTTCAGGAAACATGGCAACCGCGGATAGAACTGTGTTGACAACTTGACCTGCTAATTGTTGAGAACTGAAAAATATAACCCGTTTCTGATACAAAATTGCATTATAGATTAGCATGGTATCCTCTTTAAAGGTGCTAACAAGTCTACAAAGACTAACTTGCGTTATTCCATTGATTCTATATTGAATCTCATTTTCTGATAAACAAAGAGGGATGGAGAGTGTAATATGGTCAACTTTGTTGCCATATTGAAATGAAGTTGTATGGTTGTAATTGGTAAATTTTGATTTTGCTAATGCATATCTCCAGAAAATGCGTTCTTGGTCTGAATATATAGGAAGGTTAGAAATTTTGACTCCATTACAAGTTTCGAATATATGCTCAACAAGAGTTTGGACAAGATTGTCAATAAGTTTAGCATCATCTTGAATATCCAGCTCTGAAAGATCCATATCATCTGACTTTCTTCTTTCTTTGCTGTACATAGTGTGATCATAGGCATCAAAAATCTGATCTAAAGCTTTACTCAATAAATCTCTGAGAGAAAAGCAATATGGTTTTTTGGAGGCGATTGCCAAACTTTTCACTCTTGCTCCTCTTCTAACCCCTGTTTGAATTAATAAAATTAAATCAAAGAAAAATATTCAAGCACCACAAACCTTCATACTTCTTTTGCTTCTGAACATTCAGTACATGATAAAATGTTTCATTATCAGCATCATCAGATGGGTTGTTGTGTTTGCTTCTGAGAAAAAATACAGTTGTATCTTCCACGCAGTTATGAGATCCATCGGGAAGCATCAAATTGGCGATTGAATATTCCGAATCATAAGGATATACTGTTGGATGTTGTACTTTTAGTATTGATCCTTTATCAATATCAAATTCGGCTAGAAAAATATACTCGATATCCATTATTGCGTGATTGGGGTTACTGAGTTGGACAATTATTAGATGTGGCAAGTTCAATGAGCAGCCAAAATTTGAAATATTTTTTTTGGTATTATTTGAAAGGTTCGCGAAGTAACACCTGTTACTCTGATCAGAACACCATTCTCTTATGCATTCGCAACGCAGTTTTTGGGTGATGCCAAGCCAGTTTCGCTGAAGAAAAGTACTTTATTCTAGTCCATTATCCAAGCGAATCTGCTCACTCCAGCGAAAAATCTCGTTTCGCACACATAAGACTTCTGTGAAGCAATAGATACATAATACAAAAGGAAGCAATAATTGCCGAAGGAACACATGCAGTGTTACGGATTCAAATAACGTTGGTTTTTCCATTCAATGAATTCAAAGAAAACTTTACCGAGAATTTCCAAGCGAAATTTTCTTCTCCCAGAAATTCAAATCATCCAATCAAAAGTGAGTTTTCTTTACAACAGCTGCTGGCCAACCGAAATGAGCGTTTGTCCTCAACAAAATTGTGAAAGATTTTTGAAATTGTTGTTGAAAAAAATTCTTCATCGCTCCTCTCGTTCATCACCATGGTTGAAACATTCCACTTCTCCTCAGAGTCCGTAACTGAAGGACATCCAGACAAGATTTGCGACCAAATTTCTGACGCTGTTCTCGATGCTTGCTTGAGCATTGATCCATATTCAAAGGTTGCTTGTGAAACCTGTTGCAAGACTGGTATGATTTTGGTCTTTGGTGAAATTACCACTCGAGCAGTTCTTGACTTCCAAAAGATTGTCAGAGAGGCTGTCAAAAAGATTGGTTTTGACGACTCAAGCAAGGGATTCGATTACAAGACTTGCAACGTTTTGGTTGCTATTGAGCAACAATCTCCTGATATTGCTGGAGGAGTACATGTTGGTCGTAAGGAAGAAGAATTAGGTGCTGGTGATCAAGGACTGATGTTTGGATATGCCACTGATGAAACCGAGGAGCTGATGCCATTGTCCCATTTGTTGGCTTCTAAATTGGCAAAGAGATTGACGGAGGTCAGAAAGAATGGTACTTTGCCATGGCTTAGACCCGATGGTAAGACCCAAGTTACAGTTGAATACGAGAAAGATGGTGGAAATCTTACACCAAAGAGAGTATCTACCCTATTGATTTCTACTCAACATGACGAAAACATCACCAACGAGGAAATTCAAAAGCAATTGAAAGAACACGTTATTATCCCAGTAATTCCTTCTCATTTGTTGGACGAACGAACCATTTATCACATTAACCCATCCGGTCGTTTCGTTATCGGAGGTCCACAAGGTGATGCTGGTTTGACTGGAAGAAAGATTATTGTTGACACTTATGGAGGTTGGGGAGCTCATGGTGGTGGTGCTTTCTCTGGAAAAGATCCAACCAAGGTGGATAGATCTGCTTCATACGCAGCTCGTTGGGTTGCTAAATCCGTTGTCGCTGCCGGATTGGCCAAGAGATGTTTGGTTCAAGTTGCATATGCTATTGGTATCGCTCATCCATTGTCCGTTCATATTGACACTTACGGAACTGCACAAGGTGGCAGAACAGACTCTGATATTTTGGAAATTGTCAAGAAGAACTTTGACTTGAGACCATATCACATTATCAAGGATTTGGATTTGTTGAAGCCAATCTACTCTCCCACAGCAGCTTACGGTCATTTCGGAAGATCTGAATTCCCATGGGAAGTTCCAAGACCTTTGAAGTTCTAAATCAATTTCATTCCAACCAATTGAACAATAAAAACCTTTTGAAAAAATTGATATGAGCCATTTAGTGTGAATTCAGTTCGCGACTTCTCTCATTAAATAGTCCATGCTTCCAATAGCTCCTCCAGCTTGACTCTTGGGTTTTTGCCCTCTCCATCAAACTTAATCTTGCTGGCTATGGTCTCTGAATTTTCATGCTTGAAAAGAAGTACTTTGGATCTCAGCTCTTGATCTTCTTCCAATTCGTTCAAAAATGTTTCGTAATCTTTCCCTTCTGGCTCCATGCAAAAGTGCTTTAACGTCCAAATTCGTTGTGTATCCCAATCATACTTTTTTCGAACAATAATTACATCAGGTACTACAAGCTTCTTGTAGCTTAATAAATCTTCATTATTGAAGTTGGCATTCTTCAGATCATATCCATATACAGTGTCTCCAGCCTCGAGCAAATGAGAAAGATGACAAAATGTTTGTATGTCATGAGAAATGCCAAGCTCAGAGGTTTTAACGACAGATACTTCGCCCAATTGGAATCTTCCTGATTGAGCACTTACAACTCTACCTTTATGATTTCTCTTCATCTCGACGTCATTTACGGTATATTCTAGCAATTGAGTTGCTGTCAATAGAGGTCTAAATGGAGATTGAAAATAAGTTTGAGAGCTCACTTCAAGGGCTATTCACCGGTAATTCGAACAACCACATTCCAAATACATAAATAAAGGAATTCCAATAACAATTTTAAACGAACATAACAATGGATACAATCAATGCAGACTTTGGATGTTAAATACTTACTTTTTAAAGTATATGGGTCAATAAAAAACAGGGAATTGGTAACTTTGTAACAAACAACTAAGGGTCTTTATAATTGTAAGATTTAATAGAATGTAAAATATTCAAATACTTACCCTATTTGCCCGCTACTATTATATAATCTTTGAGGAAGACACACAAGATCACCTGTATAAATAGGGGCAATTTCAATGTAGTACGTATCTGCATCGCTGTTTGATTCCAGATTTGAAGACGCTCCTATCACTTGAACGCCTAAAATTTATATATGAATATAATAGATCGTAAATGATTGTCAAAAACTTGTATACGATACAATACCTCCTCCTAATTTTCCTTTTTGAAAGGCTCCTGTCATAATGGATTTGTTTTGTAAATCTCGAATGGGCAACAGATTGCTGAGCAATGTTATAAATTTGATAACGTTTGTACTCTCTGACGTTGCAGCATCTTGTGTGGCGTTGGGGTTTTGGTCAATCTCTTCGTCTACATTGAGATTGATGTTTGGACGAAAATAAATGTCAAAACCGTGAGCCACTTTTTCGAAGGCTAAATGTGGGAATCTTTTTGTTATTTGGTGTTTCAACATGAGCTGTTCTAAGTAATACAAGGTCCTCTCATGACTTGTTTTTTGACGTATTTGGACAATAGGCTTGTCCGATGCTGTGATATTTGCTCGTTTTTTCTTTTGAGTCATTCGATTAGCTTTCTTTTTCTTTTTAGAGGTATGAATTTGTTCTTGATAGTTATTTCCTTCATGTACTTTGGTGTCCTCAAAATCAGAAATGGACATCATATCCGCACCTCTTTTCTTTTGTGATGATGGTACATCGGTTTTTCTTGCAGGAGGTTTTTTGAAGCCTTTACCTGTTTGCTTTTGTCTCATTTTTTGTTGAGCTTCACCATGTGAGGAGCTTGAATAATAAATCCCACAATCTTGTCAGAGTTGAAGGACAGTTTATTGGACAAAGAGGAAGTGTGAGATTTTTCTCTCGTAAAATGATGAACAACACAATTATTCATGCGTGTCAACAGAAGCTAAAGTGATTGATACAATACTTCATCACTGATCCTTGAATGTGATTTTGGATGTTTTAAATGAATAAGGTATGCTAAGTGTTATTGTTACAAGGAGTTGATGATTACTGAGTGTTTGACGAAGAGTTCGCTCCATTATTTTGTCCGCCATTGGCATCTTCTAGATGACGATTTCCATTTCTGAATTCATTCAAATAAACAATGAACTTAAATATTTGCTTAAGATAACGTTCCACTGACATAATTTCCAGAATATTGTTGTGACCTGCATAGTCTATAAACAGAGGTGTATATTTGTATTTCACCTTTTGTTGAAGAATCTCTCCGTGTTCAAATGGAACCACCTCGTCAACTTTTCCATGAATGATAAAAACTGGGCATTTCACTTTATCTATCCGATCAATGTTTCTGAACATGTCAAAGAAAATCTTCTTGTTGGTATTGACTTTGATACGAACAACTGTCGTAAATGGGCTTTGAAGAATAACTCCTCTAAAGTTTGAATTTTCTTTGGAGGCAATATAAGTACTTGGTCCAGTGCCAAGAGATGTACCAAATCTGCATTTCATGAATTTGTGTTATCACACAAATATTTGAAATCTCTTGTTATTATCATGAATCTTATCACTAATACATACACTATTATTCTATCTTCTGAGAAACCTCTTTCTGTCTTTAAATATTTGACGGCTGCTTCAATGCTGGCATACACTCTAGGTTCTGAGCAGCTTACTTTTGGCTCAGATATTCCATATCCTTGATATTCGTACCCACAAACGTTGATCTTTAAAGAACTGCGAAGAAGCTCCAGGTATGGCATTGTTTGACCTAAGTCAGTGGCGTTACCGTGGCTGTACAATAAACAAAGATCGGATCTAATTGTTGATGAAAATAACAATAAATAATAATAATGTTAAATAATAATAATTGATGAGGCCGACGATTGTCAAGAACCGCCCGTTTTTCAAAAAACGCATCATCACGATCACAACAGATTTTTAAAATAAATTTCTATGATCGAACGTACCCTTTACATTCCAAGAACACGAGCGGTATTTTGACATTCACTTTTTGCCCTCTTTCATCAACAACTTTCTTGTCTTCGCATTCCAGAAAGATGTACTTGTCTGACTTTGTGTAGCTGGCTGGTTCTGGTGGTTGAAAAAGCAAACGGGAAATGAGACCGCCCATTTTATTTTTGATGAGAAACACAGATAATTGTCAGACGATTTATTGACAAGCAGATCAAGCAAGAAGACAACCACTGCCGGAAGAGTTATGTGATGCTTTGAACTCTCCCAGGCCAACAAGAATGGCAGTTTGAAAAACATTTTGAATATTTTCTGCGGTGTATGCCGAACATTCCACATACGCAGCTGCTTTCAATTCCTTCGCCAACATTTCTCCTTCTTCTTTTGTGATAGGTTGTTGGCCTTCTTTTTTGAGTTTGTTGATGGTATCATTGTCTGTTCTAAGGTCTGTTTTCAATCCACATAAAACTATTGGAGTTTTGGCTACATGTTTTTTTACCTCAGGAAACCAAACAGTCCTGACGTTATCGAACGAATCAGGAGAAACACATGAAAAACAAATCAATATCACATCAGAGTTTGGATATGAAAGCGGTCTGAGGTTTTCATAACCCTCTTAGTTGAATTGTAATTGCTTCAAACAAATAAAATTACGAACAATAAATACCTTGACCCGCAGTGTCCCAAAGCGAAAGAGTAACAAACTGTCTTGGTTTGTATTCAACGCTGGAGTCACTACACAAAAAATTCTATCGTGAGTTTTTAACAAACAACATACTAATTTTCGAATATTGTCGGAATATATTTTGCTGGAAATTCTCCTTTGGCATATCTGATCAACAGGCCTGCAATCATTAATTTAGTAGGTGATGATGTGACGGAACTTACATGTTTTTCCAACAGCACCATCGCCAACGGCAACACATTCTTCGAAGAATTAGTTTTGTGAGAACTATTTGATTACACTTACTGCATCGCTTTTCGTTGTCTGAAGTTTTATTGGCTGAATTATCGGTTAAAAGAAAACTCAACCTACCAACGCTGGACATTTTTTTGTGTTTTGTCATCCCTGTCAGCCTCTTTCGTTCCTTCGCACTTAATTGTCTCTGAGATAAAGTCAAAGTTGGCTGAAGCCATTAGCCAGCTGATTTGATGTTCAAGATGAACAGCAGAGACAGAAAGGATAGAGTTTTGCAAAATCTCGAAGTTGCGCCCCTGCAAGGTCAACGAACGTAGGGAGACCAAAGTTTCTTTCACAGAGTCAATCACCATCTTTTTCTCTAAGCATCCTGGAGTAAAAATGTCTCCAACAAATCTCTCCAAAAACAAAAATATGTCATCCAAAAACTTCATCACCCTTGTAGAGTCGTTGTTTCTAGATCCTTCAACAAACTCTGACAATGTTCTGAAATATCGCTGCTTGTGATCGGTGTCCACTATCGGAGTGCAAGATTGATCAAGAGCTACCAAACGACTATGGAAAATTAAGATGTTTGTTGGATTTCCATTGTGATCCCAGACTTTTTTGCAAGGAAACCTGTCGCAGTTGTTCGTGAATAAATCAAGCACAAACATCTTTCCAAGATCTGTCCAGAAATCGGTAGATGAGCGAAAATGCTGAACAATCTTAAATCGCGTCATGGAATCAAAGCAGCAACTTTCTGCAACCAGTTCGTCGAATTGTAGACATGGAACATATTCAAGTAGCAACAAAGCTTTAGCATGTTGCAGCTCTCGCTCTATCTTCACTTGAATTTCAACATCTTGCGATCTCACAGCCCATTCCAACAATCCTTTCACGCATTCAGATTTAATGCTTGGCAAAAATGCATCGTCTAAAATGCTGAAGTGAGGGGCAGCAAGTCCCAAGTAAGCGGCCAATGCTGTTCCAAGAGCCTGATTGGCTGTGTCGTATTTACAATTTTTTACAACCACAAATTGGTTTCGGAAGTGAGTTTCAACAATAAACAGGCTTGAGTTTTCATTATTGCTAACGCATACGTTTTTCACTTTAGACCAATCAACAATTAATAGAGAGCACATGTTAATCCGAGAAGTGATTTTTTTATGGGGTGAAATAATCCCAGTTTAGCATTTATCCAATTAAAACATCATCTAATGCTTCGCATATTTCGGGGTGCTGTTGCTAAAACGGATTGGTGCTCGGATGGCGTTAATTTATCAGCGTGCATGATAGGACTAAAAACTTTCCAAAATCTTAATGTTTCATCTCCAGCTGCACTGACAATGGTTGTTCCATCAGGACTTTGAGCCATATGAAGCACTCTGCTTTTGTGTCCTGTTAATTCAGCTACTTTTACAAGTGATGGATACTTCCAAACACAAAGCTGATTTTGAGAAAAGCCGTGTGAAGAAATAATTTCACGATCACTTTTGGACCAAATCAATGAACAAACTTGTGAATTAGTATCTATCGTGTTAAGTAAGGTACCTGTTTGGGTGTTCCAAAACATCATCTTTCTGTCACTGGTTCCTCCTCCAGAAGCTAAAAGATTCGCTTGCCAAGGACACCAGGCTAAAGCTTTTACAGCAGCTACATGTTCTCTTAATGAGAATTTAGGCATGATTTCGCTTTGTGTCAGCAAGAGAGACTTGTCCCAAATATTGAGGATATTGTCATTGGCTCCAGAAGCGAGTTGATTACCATCGTGTGACCACTTCAGTCCACAAACTTCAAAATCTTGATGGATGCTCTGAGTAGTGATTAAATGTTTCGCTTGTCTCACATCATGATTAAGTATTTTGCCATCCTTTCCTCCACTTGACAAGATGAATGTATTCCAAGCCAATGAGCATACTCGTTGTGTATGACCTTTCATAGTTCTAATTTGTTTGCTTCTGTTAACATCCCATATTTGTACATCGTTGTAGTTGGTTCCTATCGCTAAATAAGTTCCATCTTCTACCCATGAAACGCTGGTAATATAGTTGTCTTGCTGAGAACAAGACATTAATTTGTTAATGTCTCCGGTCTCGCCATTCCACAAATACACACTTTCACAAAGAGCTACTGCCAATACATTATTTGAGTTCCAATCCAATAAATTTAAATAATAATCATCTATCATTTGGGGAGCATCTAGCACCTTTTCAGGAGTTTGAGGAATGTGTCTGGACACCACTTGCTTTCTTGCATTATTTTGACAAGCTCCACCATTACCAGGAAATATTTTGTTTTGAGAATAAAGAACTCGTAAATTATTGTGCCAGTCCGAGGGAGCTTTGGGAGCCTTCTCCGTTAATGCTAAAATCTTGGCGTCTTTCACCTTTTTACCATCAAAAAGACGTTGTTCTAAAATTCTGTTGTGCGTATTTTCCTTATCGGAGGAAGAAGAGGAATCGAATGAGCCTCCACCACAATCACCACCATCATCATCTTCCATACAATTCATTAAATTAAATTTACAAATATCCATATCTTGAGATGTTCTTCTGGATGGTATAAATCTTTGATCCAGAGAAGTAGTAGAAGTGGTTGTAGTGGGTCCGGAAGAACACGAGATGTTGTTCATCGTGATGATGACATCCGTCATGACTTGATCCACAGTCGTTGTGGATTGAGGTCGTTGCTTCTGTTTTCGTTTCCATCTCGGTTCATAGACAGAGGATAAGTCCGTGTTCAAGTCTTCATTGTTGATGTCGGTATGATCTTCAAAATTAAAGCCAGACATTGCGTTTGATGACTTTTTTTTAAATTCGTTTGAATGGCGGGGAAAATTTGTGTAACGGTCATCTCTTGCTGGCACCAACTGTTTAGTAATCCCAGTTTTTATTAATCAAAGTTAACCTTAAAAGGTTGGTCATTGAGAGTGAAGGATTGAAGTGTTTTGATGTTTGAGAATCGTATTGAATTGGAAACATTGTGGTTGGAGAGTCGTTCACTTTTCAAATGTAAATCGTTGACGTTTCTGTAGATGCTTAAAATGTTTCGTAAAATTTTTTCATCGAGTAATGGATGGTAGAGTTGTAAAGAATAGCTTCGTTGGTTTGGGTTAGATGGTACTTGCAGTATGACATCATTTCTAAAAATAACAAACAAGCCTTCATCACCTTTCTCAATTTTACATAATTTTCTACAACTTTTCAATAATCTTGTGACAGTCAATTGGCTTATATCGATACATGCAATTTCTAATTTTTCTAAGTGACTTTCAAGGGTTGAAAAAAGATCAGCCAAGTATTTAAAGGAGTTTTCAGTGACCCTTGTTTTTGACAAATTTAAATGCTTAATATTTTGAGGTCTTGGCAATGATTTCATCAATCCAATACAACCATTGTCCGTAATTGATGTGTTTTCTAGCTTTAATCTAGTAATGTTTTGATGAATGTTGCTCATCTCCAAATTTTTGTTAAATGCTTACCGCTCAATTTGTGGAATTTTAGTACAAATTTCTACAATAATATCATCATTTAATTTTACATTGCTCAGATTGATTTCTTTCAGGAATGAGAGCTTTGGAAGAGCAAATATAAGAATATTATTGTTCATATCGTGAACTTTTCCACATAAATCCATAACAATCAAATTAGAAGCATCTATTTTACCATTATTAATGGCGTCCATCAAAGTTTTCAAGAATAAATCAAATTCATATTTTGAAAATGCATGCGAGATTAGTTTCTTTTGGGGCGTAAATAATTCCTCTTCTTGATAATTATGAGGAGGGAATATACTTTGCAATTGTTGTTCAGAAATATCATACGATGCTTCCGATGGGAGTATGTTATTGTCTTTTCGAATATTTTCAAGAATTACAGCTAACGAGAAGAAGTTGTTGCAACTCTCAATGATAATATTATTACTTACGCATAATATGGTTAACGATGGCTTGAGCTCTTGCAGCGGTTCGGGATGAAAGAAAAGTCCTGACCGATGAAGACGACATTTTTTCTAATGATTGTTTATTTAATTTCAAACACAACTTGTTGAAAATTGTGTCTAATCAGAACGTTCTGAACACATCATCGTTATCCAAACAATAGATACTAGTCGATCATCATCACCAACTCTATGATGTGCCGAAGTGGGAGTCACGAAACCTTTTCCAACACCCCTTTTTGTTGTTTAAAAAAAAAATATCGTTTTGAATATTTTGCGATCTTGATTTCGTCCGAGCAAGAGTGTTGTTGTTATTCCGTATTCTACTCTACTTACACCAAATAATTTATCTCTTTCAAATCGTAACGCCAAATACTCATTGATGATTCAAATTATTGAACAACACCAAACAACCACACGAAAAATAGTATTTGCAGAACTAGACTTAAATTATAATCATCATCAAATATAATTTATTGACTAACGGACAATAAGAATGGAATCTTCACCACAGGAAATTACTACCTCTCAACAACAAGTAGTATTATCGGAACCAATGTCTTTTGGACAATTAATGAAGAATTTTGGCAAAGAGTGTTTGGCAGGAAGCATTGGTGGAATATCGGGAATAATTGTTGGACATCCATTAGGTAAGTATGATGGTGATTTATTATCTCAATGTTCATCTGTTATTAATTTTGTTCTTTGGATGATGAAATAATCCTTCTTTGGTCATTGAAATTGACTCAATTTCTCAAATTTATGAATATTGAAATCTAATATTTCCCAACACCTGCACAACATTCATCATCACCACCACAACCATCAACCACAATAGATACCATCCGTGTAAGGCTTCAAACACAAACAAGTTCCTCAAAATTTGGAGCCATTCACTTTTTGAAAGAGGCTGTTGTCAAGGAAGGAGCTCGTTCTCTCTTTAAGGGACTACTTTCTCCTCTCATTGGAGAAGCCATCAATAATTGTATCTTGTTTGGAGTCTACAATGGATTGCTTCCGAATGTGCTCAAAACACTCCTTGGCTCGAATTTGAGTGAGGAAGAACAGACTATGATTCGTAGAAGCTCTATTCCTATTCAATTTGTGAGTGGTTCATTGGCTGGATTTTGTATTGCTTTTGTGGTTTGTCCAACAGAGCTGATAAAGATTAGACTTCAAACCTCGACCGATCATATCAAAACAAGGTCAACTTCTGGTACTTTGGGAAGAAGAGGATTTGTGGATTGTGCTAAATTTATTTGGAAATATGAAGGAGGTTTAAGGGGAATTTATCATGGTTTTTCGTCGACTCTGATTCGAGAATTGAGTTTTAATGGAGTTTACTTTGCAACCTATGAACAATGCAAAACACGATTTGCTCGATATTTGGCTGTAAAGCAGATGGAAGGAGGAGCAGATGAGGAGCAGATTAAGAAGAAGACTGAAGAAATGCGTTCTGATCCGAGAGTTATTTTGTCCAGTGGAGGATTGGCAGGACTTGGTGCATGGGGCCTTTGTTATCAAACAGACGTAGTGAAAAGTCTCATTCAATCACGATCTCCAGTTGCAGCTGCCAAAGGAGAATACAGTGTCAAGGTGCTTGACGTTTTTAATGAGTGTAGAAAATCTAAATCTTTATTTAAGGGACTAACACCTACCTTGGTCCGTGCAGTTCCAGTGAATGCCGTAACTTTTTTGATGGTGGAAGCAATTTCCACATACTTGAACGACCTTTAACTTTGAAGCTTGGGATTTGAACAATCACGACGGGAAAGCAATAAATAATGAGTTTATTCTTTCTTTCCCATTACTACATTTCCAACATCGTCATCATCATTGAATTCATCGTCTTCCTCCATGGTTTTTCTTCTACAAACCATTGCAGCGTCATCGCTTGAGGACGATCCTTCATTGTATCCCTTAATGTATTGAGTAATTTTTTCATATTTAGGCTTGGCACTCTTGAATTTTTTGTGACCTTCCACTTCAATGTCTTTGCTCATGAGTGGCTTCATTGCTGTTTGTAAACTCAGGAATAATTGAGGATAAATAAGTTCTTGATTGGCGAGGAGTGTCTTGATACGTGCTCTTTCTTTTGGAATTTCAAAGCAAGCAGGACAATTTTCATTAATAACTGGCAACTTGTTCTCCCATGCAAACTTCTTTGTCTCACTCTCTCTGACATAAATCAAAGGTCTAATCACACGTAAATCTCCAGCATCAATCGTATAATGAGCTTTCATGGTTCTCATGTAACCATTGTGGAAAATAGACATAATAAAGCTCTCTGCTAAATCGTCACAATGTTGGCCTAAAACTAGCACATTATAACCTTCTCTTCTTGCTGTATTGTACAGAATGCCTCTCTTCATTCTGGCACACCAAGCACAAATCGAGGACGCATTACATTCTTTAGCTCCCTCAATCACTGATTGGGATTCATAGAAATATGGAACTCCTAATTGTTTGCAATAATTAATGAGTGGTGATGGATCATAGGATGCTGTTTGTGGATCTACTGTACATGCACCAAACTCAAATTTTACGCCCAAGTTACTGTATTGGAGTGCATGCAAAACGTGAAGCAATGTGAGAGAATCTTTACCACCCGATAATCCTAACAGCAAACGATCGCCGTCACGAATCATGTCATATTCACGAATTGCTCTCTTGACAGGTCCCATGATGGTTTTAGCATCAACTTTTGGCCACATTTTGTAATGCTTCTTGAGTGCCTCTCTACGTTTCTTGTCATCCTCTTCAGAGAGCTTGATCTCTTTGTTGGTTTCCTGATCAAAAACATTGACAGGTCTGCTAAACATGACTGGGCGTTTTTGAACGTATGGTTTGGCAGTACTTTCCTTTTTCCAATCTCCTCCAAAATCATCTTCTCCAATATCAAGCCCCTCAATGGATGATGCTGGTGCAGTTGGCAATGTTGCAGAGGTTTCGACTTGTTGAACAGTTTCTGTTGGTTGTGACGATGTTAACTCTGATGTATCTGAGAGGGAAGATAAGGATGGGTTAATTTCTGAAGTGAGAGTGGAGTGAATGAGACGGCTCTGGGTGGAGGCAGTTCCGTTGTCCTGAATAGTAGATTGATCTGAAACTGAAAATCCTGTCCATGGCTTCAAATACGAGGGTTTGAAAATTGAATTAATGTCACCTCCTTGTAACTCTTCGACAATTTGCTTAGGAAAAACAAACCATCTCCATTTTTCAGCATGATCAATTTCCTCTTCCTTTGTTGAAAGATTCTCCTTGTTGATAATACTGTTTTCTTTCAATAAATTAGTATTGGTCTTGTTGAGTAGAATTAAATCTTGGTCAACAATTCTGAATTTAGGATTAGAGAATTCCTTAAATGCTTGTTCAGCCATTTCTTCGGCTTGCTTTAAATATTTTTCATACTCCTTGCCTGGAGAAGTAATCTTGTAGCCAATTTCTTGTCTATATTCGAGTTTTCCATTCTTATATGAAATGTTTTGTAACCATCTTCTGGTTGGAAATTTTCTATTTTGATTGTGCAGCCATTCACCTGTTTCTGGATAAAAGTAATAATATGGTAAGAATTTGTATCCGTGCTCTGCTACAAATTTAACAGCTTTTGTAATGTAGACAAAGGTGTCTTCATCCATAAAATAGTTGAAATTCAATCTCACAAATCCAGGTCTCAAAAACTCATAGTCGTCATCTGACAACAACACGTTTTCAAGGTTTTTAGTTTCATTGTACTTGAGACCAAAGAGGAAGTGGGCAAATGGTCCAGCACATGCACAACCAGATCTAGTTTGAATACCAAACAAATCATTCAACAAGATTGACACGAAGGTGGATGGAAGGAATGAGTTATGGTGTCTAATAAGGAAGCTGAAAATTGGAAGACGTGGTGTGATTTGTCCATGGCCAAGAATTACCAAGTTCTTGACAGATTTGAATTCGTTGAAGGCACGATTCGTAAAATCTGTCTCTATTTGAGAAATTAATTGAGTACCGACTGCTTGTCGAAGTTGGAACACAAGACCACATCTAACTGACCCCAAGATTTCTGGTGTACCACCTTCTTCTCTTTCATATGACTTTTTCACATAGTGATGATCCCTGTCGGTCACAAAGAATACTGTACCGCCTCCTGGATTCTCAGGAATCTTATTTTGGAACATGTGCTTTTTGGCAACAAGCACACCTGGTGTTCCAGGTCCACCAACGAATTTATGTGGACTGAAAACAAGAGCATCCTTGTAACATAAAGGCTTGTCCTCATCTGGAATTTCCTCATTAATCTTTCCAAATGTATGATCCAAATTTTCTGTTGAGACTCCTCTTGGATTCATATCCATCTTTACATAGGGAGCTGCAGCAGCATAGTCCCAAACTACATAACCTCCGTATTTGTGCATTAAGATTGAAATCTTATTAACATTAGGTTCTAGAGCACCAGTGACATTAGAAGCGGCTGAGAAGACGCCAATTAATTGCCTCTTTCCATTCTTAAAGTATTGTAACTTCTTTTCTAAATCCTCCAAATCAGTAACTTCGTTTCTTGTAGCAACAGAGCCAGCTGTTGGAACATATAATTTGATTGGAACAATGTGACAACAAGATTCTCTCCACGGAAGAATGTTTGAATGATGTTCCATTGGGCCTACGAATACAACTGGTCTTAATTCATCAATATCAACTCCATTCTCTACGTTGTAATAATCATCATAAAATTGATCATCATCAGAGTTTAAAGATGAACTAGTTTGATGTCGTGGCTGCATGCTATTGTCTGCCAATAAATTATTCTTGATATTGAACTCTCTTTCCCATTTTCTCTTTTCTAAGAGTAAATTCATGTCACCACCCTTTTGTAGACCTAACAAATGAACCAATTTGTTTACAGCACTTGTAGAACCGCTTCCAGTAAATATTAAAACATCTTTCTTTCCGCAATTTAAAGCATTTCTGACTATATAACGAGCCTCATGTCTAAACAATGTGCTTTGAAGACCAGTAATTGAGCTTGTTGTGTGAGTGTTGGCATACATGGTCATGACTTGCTTTTTCATAAACTCTTCCAAAAAACTGAGAGACCTTCCCGATGCTGTATAATCACAATAAGTAATTTTTCTATAGCCAAAAGGTGATTTAAAAACTTCATCGTCTCCCATAATTGAATCATGAATGAATTGAATGAGGCTTGTTTTTTGGCGAAGGCTTTCACTATCTGTTGAGGTTGTTGGTGGTAGTAGTGGTCATGTGTTTGTTGAAATCAATTCATGACGACCAATTCAATGGGAGGAGTCATTGGAGTGGTGGGTGATGGTATTGCAGACACAATGTGGTAGTACATGTCAAAAGACACAATTCCAACAATTTGTTATTCGATATCGGAATTATTACTTACCTGTATCACCATTCACCAACATGTTCAATACCTCTTGCTCCGATAATGCCTCTTGTTCCTTCATCTGCTTTTCCTCTTCAATGGCAGTTGTACTCTTTCCTCCAGCCTGTTCATAATGAGAAAGACGAAAGAATTCCCGAGAACGTTTGGCAATCACAGAGTTTTTTTCATTATTACTGTTGCTGTTGTTATTTGTACAAATAACATGATGCTCTCCCTGTTGTTGCTGATTCAAAGCAGGTTGTGATGGAATCATCATCTTCAACAAACGTTGGTCTTCTCCTCTTGAGGGTGATGATGATGAAAAAATAAAACACTAAATGTGAATGAACGTTTTTTTTTTGAATGTCCACCTCAACAACAACCTCTCTTCGATGAAAGTTTGAAATTGCATGGCGCGTCATGTGTGAGTATTTTGGTGAAGAAAAGCGACCAAATGTAATAAAAGAAAGTTAAAGCACGGAAGTTTAGGATGGAACTATCAGAAACATGTTTTCAATATTCTTATTTTTATTTCTTCTCAGAGTGTCAATGAGAGAACACTGTGTATTGGATGTCACGTCTTAGATGATAGTTCAGGTGATCCATTCCTAATAAATTTTTGTTGGTCATGAATGCTTAGAGAGGAGTTTGTGTATTGAAATACCTCATGAAGTGTCAATAGGTGAATCGGTTGTGGTGAAAAGTCCAAGTCAAGTGTAAAATGCAATGTGAAATTGTGCATGGAAAAGTGGTGGATTGAAAAGAAGAAGGGAAAGGTTTGGGATGAAATGTCAATTCCATCATGATGGAGAGAAGTATTTACAGGAAATTGTTGTTCGCTCGTTTGTTGTTGTCAATCAATTCACGAACGATCCATATGATAAGAATGAATCTATCAAAAAGAAATATTCTTCAATTAATCCCCTGTGACTGCAATTTTCAATCCATCCACAACAGTTCCTGAGAATGCTTTTGCGAATACTTTCCTACTTTCTTCCTTTTCCTTTTCTGGGCATGTATATCCAGTGTAATCGAGATCTTTCAGTTTCAGTTCAATTTTTGTAATATAGTCACAATTTAGTGTATCAAATTGTATAGATATCTCCCATTCGAATTTATACTTGCAAATGAGACTGGATTTATCTTCTGAAACGCTGTAAACTTGTTCGATACGCCGTTGTGTGATGACTGGTGTTTTATAGTCCTTTCCAGTGTGAAAATCCAGGAACTTCCGTGTGTTAAAAACCATGTCATTATTGAGTCACATTTCACAACACATGTCACTCATAAGGTGTGAACGTTCATGATGAATACTTACCCACATTCCTCTACAATCCTTAAATTCAATTCCATGATTCTTTAGACATTCTCTCACATGAAACAAAACGGCAATCACAGGACTCTGATTACAACATTTCAATAATTTGATAATTGCATGATTCTCTCCATAATACTTGAGTAAATACTTGTCAAAGGTTGTTGGAATATTCGTATTGACCTCAGTGTCAAATATTTCTTGAGAGGCTCCACCTGTCGATTGAGTACCAATCTCTGAACACAATGCATGCATCAATTCGAACAAAACGATATTAATCTTATCTTTCGCCTTATCCGCTGTGAAATTCTTTTCCTGCATTGTTGCGTCTTGTTTGTTAAATCTGAATAGAGTAAATTTTCGAGCGAGACGAGGAATATCTTTCGAGACTGGAAGAGATTCAAGTTTGTGTTGAGCAACTTTGGTGAGCTCCTCCACCACATTAGCCATATTGACGCTCATTGTGAGAGTGAAAAGTAAGTCGTTAAATTGATATAGGAGGATAACGAGAGTGATTCGATAAATATTGTGGAAAGTGTCGATGAGTTTTTTCTTCTTCAACAACTTCTATTAATGATGAAATTATTTGTGAGTAGTACAACTAGCAGATCAATTCGTTGGAAAGATGTTGGAAACTCTAGAGTTTGATATAACGGTGGAGTTGGATGGCTAAACAATGTTTGACACAATTTTGTAGATACGAATATAAATTCAGAGAGAGAAGAAGAATAACAACGTTGTTCTAGTTGGTTGCTCTTGTCAGAAGATGATGATGATGACAATAGTTGTTTCGGTTCAATTCTTCTCGAGTCTTTGGATTCGGCAACTATTAGTTGAACAAAACAAATCGTTGAATATCTTCTTTTCGAATTGTTGATGAATACAATCAGATTGACCTTGTGGTGTTTCAAGGCCTGTTGATGATGAAGGAAGAAATTTTGTTGTGATGACGGCTGCACTCGCCACAGCAGAAAATAACGTTCGTTTTTTAGACAGATGACATAAAATAAATTTTAGACTTGACGTTTTACATTGTTTCGCTTTTGGTTTGTCCTCGACATAACTGGTCAGTGTTGCCAAAGCAAATACTCGAATCCAACACGACGTTTATTGGTCCTTGCTCATTAACGGTTGTTGTCGTAATGTGATGACGAGTGGTGGCTCTGAGATCGGTCCATTGAACACAACAACAAATAAGAACCTGTTGTCTCTGTGTTCGATTCCAAACCCAATAACAACACAATAATTGAATTTGAATATAAGAACCAGTTGGACGATATCTAGAGAGTGTCATCATGGTTCAATTGTTGTTGTATGGCCTTTCCGATTCGGGGTTATCAACTCTTTTTCATCTCTTTCAACTCATTCCTCATACCACTCCATTGGTGGAGTCATCACCAAGTATTAATCATGGTGATGGTGATGGAAGAGGTGTAACTGTAATGGGATCACATGGCTCAACAACTTTGAAATCTATACCACAAAGTTCAAATGTTTCTTCTTCTCCATCATCATCAAGTCTCCGATCTTCTCCAATGAATATTCCTAATCATCATCGACCATACCAACAACAACAACCACCGACCAATAATGAAGAGGTGAGCACAAGTTCAAAACCTTTCAGTTTTTCGTCCTCCAATTCTCTTCCATCATCATCTTCTTCCGTGGCATCCACCGTTTCCTCCTTTGTAGCATCTCCTTCTTCCGTTCATCTCCATCATCATCAAATCCACAACAACAACAACCACAATAATACCAATGATGACTCCAACAGCCATTATTATTCAACACACACGAACAATCCTTCTCCAGGGCCACCACTCTCTTCATCTTCTCTCACGCGTACTTTTGATTTCTCAACTGCTACTCCCAGCGATCCTTCTGCACCCTCAGCAACCACATCTTCTCGTTCAAAGCCTTTGCCTCGTTTGCCATTGTTTGCTCGGAAACATCCATTGCCACCCGCTCGAAGAAGATCCCTCCGACCACTTCTTTCCCATTCACTACTTTCTCATGGTGTTCCTGCATCAACAACAGCAACATCTTCCAACAAAGTATTAGAGTCGGAAATATCAAATGTAAATGTGAGCTCCCTTATCCACAAGATTGAAAGCAACAACCAGACCAACAACAAAGAGAACCTTGGTCCAATTCTCAAGAAGAGAGTAACTCCTAATTCCTTGCAATCAGGAAACAGTGCCACTCCTTTCATCGCATCGGATCAGTATGCATCACCATCGTCTTATTCCTCTTCTAACATTACTGTATTGAAAAAGAGAAGACATGCCTTCTCTAATGCTGTTCTTAAGGCTCTACCCTTTGAGTTACTTTCTCAAATATTTGTGTGTTTTCGTGTATTAATTCATGATGCCGAAGCAAAAGGCTATCTCTACAAAACAGAAGAAGAATTTCATCAATTCCTCAAACAATTTACAAATTTAGACAAATTGAAAAACCCATCCCATCCATCGAGCTCTTTATCTCATACCTCAAAGTCCGAAAAACCTTCACTCTATTGCGAATATTGCCATGCCATGGCAACTGAGAAGGCACTCGTGGTCATGAAGGAAGGAAAACTCTCTTGCAAACAACTGAAATGGAGACTCGACAAGACGGAAGACATTTTGTCTCGAATGAAAAAGATTCACCAGCCTCAACAGTTGGTGAGTGCACAACGATTGAGAATTGAGTTTCTCAATGACTGCAAAGAATTGTGGGACAATCATTTGGGTCTTCAACATACCTTCCATTCATATACGTTATTTGCGAGCACTGCTGGCAGTAACAGGTTTCTCTTTCCAAAGGAGGATCAGTATCTACGTGAAGTGGCTTCCCACATTGGAAATGCCTTCTCAGCCTTTCCTTCCATTATGGAATACATGGTGAGTCAATATTTGTTAAAGATGCCATCGAATATGTTTGGCCATGTTGTGGTCAACGATGGAACTTTAGATAATTCTTCTCAATATTTAGGTGAAGATATTGCACATGTTCCACTTCAACTGCCCACTGAAGCCATTGCTCTCATTAACACGATGAACATATCTCCAGTGGTTGTAGAAAACCAATCTATTCAATCTTCCATGACAGATTACAAATTCAAATTCAATTTACCACCACTTTCACAGATTTCTTCGAGTGCCTCACCAAATCCATTGTTGTCGTCCTTATCATCCTCATCGACGATGGCTTCTGATCACACAAGTTGCCAAGACAATCCCTCAGCAACAACAACCATCTTGATCACCCCTCAAGAAACTCCAACCCTACCCAACCAACAACAACAGAGGCCACAAGAAGAACATAAGAAACGATCGTTGGCAGTGTTGTCTTGCTCTTTTACAACAAATGCTCACACAGATTATTTCAAATCTGACTCCACATTACTGTTCTCTGTAAATTCACATTTATATAACGCATTGGCTGGAAATCATAGAGGCTCTGCAACCCAAGAAGTGGTAGCAGCAGTAAGACCTCTTGTTCTCGACAAGATTCAAGAACAAAAACCAGTCGTGGAAGAAAAGAAAGAACCACTTTCGAGTCCTCGTCGATTACTTAGTTTCTTAAAGTCTTTAAATGTGACTTCAAGCAGTAGTAACACACAAGCAACTGAACAACATGAACAACCTCCTCCAAAGGTTGTTAAAAAATCTCCTCCCAAACAGAAAAACATGATATTTAGCATTATAACAATGGTATGTATTAGGATGAGTGGAATGGCTAAATGTATTGATGTAATTCTTGGATTGTCATAATATTTTGATGAATATATGAATGACATCACAAAAATCATCATGTAGGGAGGTATCAATCCCCAAGTCGTATTCTCTAAAAAAGAGTGGATCATATGCTGCTACACATCGAATGCAATGGTCTATGTGGTCAATTTGTGTGACTTTTTCAAAACCATTCAAGTCAAAGACCCTTTCAGCGATACCATGATTGAGAAAAATCGACTTGAATACTCTCTAGAGAAATTTGAGCAATGTGTGAATGGAAAGTACTTTTCAGATATACCCATCTTGTTAGCATTTACATTTGTGGACGTTTTTAAAGAAGCCTTAAAACAATTCCCACTCAATGAAACTCGAAAGAATTCCATCGAGCATTTTGTTCAACAACTCAATCCAGCAGCTCAAGGACAAAAACAAACAGAACCAAAAGTTCCATCCATTCAACACAAGTTTGGAGATTCCACACTCGAAGAGTGGCACACTTGTTGTGAATTTATTATTGAACAATTCATTCATGTAGCCACCTCTCAGGAACGACGAGAAGAAATGAGAAGAAATGTTGTCGTGTTGAATTGCCTAGATGTCAAGAAGAGTACACAAGTATTGGTGAATGAGATTATTCTCAATACTGATATCATGGCTCATCTACAATTCAATGAGCATTATTATGGAACCTCTTCCCAACAGCATCATTCTCGAACGCCGAGCATTCATGAAAAATTCAAAAACTCATCCACCAATGTTAGAGATCATGGTCCTCAGAGTGATCGCACGCATTACCGAAGACCACCCTTGTTGATGGATCGAACAACGAATGATAGTACTTCTCCTCACTCGACATATTATGACTATTCTCAATACTATTATCGTAGATGTAAGAATGTTGATCCTCTCTCTATGGTCTCGAGCAATAATCATGAAGCTTCTAAAATTACCAAGCAGAGAAAACGAAAGGAAAAGCATGCAAAGGCCACCGCACGATCGTGGGGATCTATTCCATGGAATAGACAACCATCAGCTTCCTCTCAAAAACAACAGGAGAGTGTAGTGGTCGTGTTGGATGAAGCCTCGGATCGTTCCTCGGAGGATGATATACAAGTTTTGCCCGAAAATACTGACACTACAGCAAGAAGAAAGAGAAAAAGCAGCAATAACTGTCTTTTGCAATAATCTGTGTTATTACCATGGCACTAGTGGTGGTGTGCTAGTGCTACTACTATGAGGTTTGTTTGGTTCGAAATTTGTTCGTTTAAATTAAAGGCGTTATGATTTTCAAACTCATAAAAAAAGAGCGGGATTGGCGTCTACAGCGAAAAAATGAGTCAAGTACGATTGCTAAATCCACCCTCATCACCCTCTTCAATGTCGAGAGGAAATCATCAAGTACATAATACAAGTGGATCGGGCATTGATGGCTCTGTTCCACCTTTTGATGAAGAGGAGTTACAAATGTTGTATACATGGGTGGATGAAATACCTCTGAGTCGACCAAAAAAGAATATTGCTCGAGATTTTAGCGATGGAGTATTAATGGCGGAAGTGGTAAAGCATTTCTTTCCGAAGTTGGTGGATCTTCATAATTATGTATCGACTAGTAGTTCAAAGCAAAAAGGATATAATTGGCAAACCTTGGACCGTAAGTTTTTTTAGTAATGATTAACCCTGAGCCACGAACTGGAATGTTCAATCCCCAAAAACAACAGAAAAGGTTTTTCAAAAAATTGGTTTTATTGTAGATCCTAGAGAATTTGACGACATGGTAAAATGTAAACCCTTTGCTGCTGAACGAATGTTAAAGAATTTTCAAATCAAAGTTTCACAAATTCAACAGCGAAAACTGGCTCAACAACAAGGATCTAGGGCCTCAAACGGACTAGGTACTCACAACCATTCTGGAGAGAATACAAACACTCAACAGCCGACATCAAACTCGAAAACAAGGAGACCCGCTTCTGCCTCATCGGCTCGTACTCAACGAGCGACACAAAGAGATTACGGTGATGATCAGATGATGGATGCAGTTTCCAATCAAAAAGGCTCTGTTCAACCAGTTCCAAACAAAATGAAGGAGACGCAGGACAATATTCAAACACCTAACAACGATTCCATGTACCATAATTCCAATCCGTTAGGAAAATTTTCTACTGAGGATATTGAACTAATACGAGAAAAAGATGCAAAAATTCATGAGCTAGAAGAGACGGTCAAGCTTCTTGAATCAAAAATCAACAAACTTCAACTTCTGATACGTCTAAAAGACTCAAAAATTCAAGCACTAAATAATAAAATTAAAAACTGAGACTTTCTTTAGTCGTGTCTTTGGTGCTCTTTAAAGTTGTTATGCATCATAATCAAATATGTAAAAATAAGATAATTCTTCTCGTCTTTTGTCACTCTTTGTCCTTCTGTGGTGTCATAACTACATGTCATGGATTTCTTCAAATCATTTTCATGTCCAATCGAACGCTGGTAGTATTACTGCTTTAAATACATCCCATTATAATGGGAAAGGGCAGGAAACTTGTTATGGATTAGTTCAATTTCTATGTCTCTGGTCAGAGGCGTCATTCGGCTACTTGTTTCTACCCTATTGCGGACACCCAGCACGTTTTCATCTGCAGTGATAGAGCTAATGGGAGTAATGGGATTAGCTTGTAGCCATAACTCTTGCAATACAGTTCCGCAGCTCTCGCTTAGTAAAACTAATAATTGTGCTAGAGGTGTTTCAATTAAATTTCCAAACAACCCCAAATGTTGCAACTTTCTGCACTTTTGTATCTCCTTGTCATTGAAATCAATGATTTGATTACAACTCAGGGAAAGATATACAAGCTTGTTGCTTGTAGATCCATTGATTGGTAGAGGTAAATGTTTGATGAATGCAATTCTGTTCATTTTCAAGTCCAATTTCTCTAAATAAACACAATTTTCTAATTGAGGATCAATTTCTGAAATTTTGTTGTTTGACAGTAATAATTCCTGTAGATTTACAAGTTCTTTCAAAGGAGGAAATTTTGTTAAATTATTACAACTCAAGTTCAGTTTTCGCAGTCTTTCCGTGAATATAGTTTTTCCCAAAATTCTCACCACATCATTCGAAAAACCCTCAAGATAATTACGAGAAGCATAAAATTCAACAAGTATCATCTTTTCGAAATGACTATCTTTCTCATGTCCTAAATGTTCAATTTCATATTGATTACAATCATCACAAAGATTGTGCAGATAGGTCCCACTCAAGTCCCAACTCATTTCATTTTCCCCAACACATTTCTGAATAATTTTGAATGTATCCCGAGAGTGGCGTGTATGAATACTACCTCCTTCATCATTCTTGAGCTTTTTAGAATTAATTTCCGTGATGAGCGTGCCGACATCTTCCATTCTTGGGAGACTCATTTTTTTTGGAGCCTTTTTTTTTGCCAAGCAACCCTCTTATACCTGAAATGGAATATTCCACAACCCAATCAACCTCAACTCTCAAAGAGAACACACAACCACAAATTAATTTCCAACACATTTGGGCGAAGCTCTAACAAAAATTGGAAGATATCATTTTGTAGGATAAAGATCAAAGAGTTTATGTTGAACGCGGATCCACTTGATAAAGGGCAAATTTGCTTTACAAATGTCGAACAACAACTGTAAAGTGTTGAAGAGCATTCTCTCCACAACCAACGTTATTCCATGTCATCAAAGTAGTCATCCTCTTTTTCATAGGTCGTGGTTTCCTCAATAATTTCAGATTCTTGAAGAGCAACCCAACTTGGCCAATATAAAATTGTGAAGAGCCAAACGTACAAACTGTAGAACATAAAGTATGACAAGAACTGAGCAGCGCTGTTCCAATCCTTACTAAAAACGTATAAGAAAATTTCAACAATGGTACCAATGACCATGATGGTTGTGAGGAACCAAATGACCTTACTACGCCAAGCATTACGTTTTGGTAATAGATTCATTCTGTGCTTTTCAATGACTCTCATGAGGTAATAAACCAAAACGAAAATGTAAAGGATCATGAGCAGGACAACAATAATTCCCAATGTTTGATAGGATGTAAGGCCTTGGACAATATTTAAACTATATCCAGGATCTTCTTGCTCTTGAAGTCTGACATATGTGAAAGTCGTAATGACAAAAACAAACAGAATGGAAACAAGCACAATCTTTGGAAGGTAGAACCACAGGAAGGATCGATCCTTTTGTGCCACTACTAGTGAATGTGTGAAAACCAGGACCGTAAACATGAGAACACACAAAAAGCTCACAATGAATATAATATTAATAAACGAAAATGCCCAGTTGCCTCCAGTGAAAATCAATGCAAAAATAGGATTATTGTAAAGAGTGAGAAAACAAAGTAGTAGACCAATCCATTTCTGTTCAGTAGTCCAATTCACAAAATAGCTTCTCACAATATTTGCAATAATAAATGCAACTGTCAGTGGAGCTGTTATACAAATCATAGAGTATCTCCAACCTAATTCCCAGTTTGCATATGCGTAATTATAACTCTCCATTTCAAAACCAATATATCCTGAATTAATAAGTCCATTATCATACAATTCCTTAGCATTGAGGAAAGACAATCCAATTCGATAATTGGTATATCTAATGTGTGATTCATAGAAAAGAGCAATAGCGACACATTTCTCTGACCCCTCCGTACATATCAAAGATCTTGTGTAAGTACCATTCACAATTCGAGTCCATTCTTCAGAGTAAGAATTTCTTCCAAACAATTGTAAGTAGAAGGCAAGGTCTAATTTCTGGAAACCAAAAGCATTTTGTGATGATTGAACAGTTTGTATCGAAACATTGGATTTCAAATAACAATTAAACGTAATTTCCTGATTCAAGGCAGTATAGTTTTCTGGCGTCTCAACGTAAATTTGTTCTTGTCCATAGAACACGGAACGCATATCTTTGATGTCTGAAACTAGACCCCAATATGGAGCTGTTACAGTATGATTGTTGGTATCAACTTCTATTGATGAGAAATGTAAAACTGCAGGGCCTGCAAATACTCCTACCAAAATAGCAATAATAAAAAGTATGGTAGCAATGATGAAAAGAATCAAAACAGCCCACCATGGAAGAATGTCAATGAGAGGCTTGTAAGTACGGGATCGGTCCTCACTCTTGCAAAGTCGAACAATAATCTCTCTTAAACTCATGATTTCTCTAAAGAAATTAGTTTGGATGCACCCAAAACAACACATATACTAGTAGTATGTAGACCTCTTATGGAAGTTGTTGATGATCAATCTCACTCGAGAATCCGGATGATGATGACGAGCCGACCGATGTTTTTCTGTGAATATTATTATTCGCTTGATTAAATCCACTGCTATTTATCAATAACAACGTGTTCTTTTGAAAGAGAGTTCAGTGATGATAGTGAAGAAAACGGTGATGATGATGGTGGCACTCACTATCAACACGCCGCTGAGAAGAATAGAATTTAATATTTTTTTAATGTCTAAATTTGATCGAAAATGGAAGCTAGAAAGAATAAACATCAATTTCTGATCCAATACTAACCACACATACAATAGTACTGTTATTTATTGAGCTTTGGAAGTAGTTTTCCTTGCTTATGCAAAGCTTGAGTATCAGAAAAACCTCCAATGAATTCACTGTTGACCCAAACGGATGGAACTGTTCCCATATTGGTCATCTCTTTCAACACATTTTGATATTCCGAACCATCTTTCATTGTGTCCAACTCTAAAACTTTGTAATCTACACCTAATTCCGAAAAGAGTTTCTTAGCTGTATTCGATGATGAAGAGGTTGAATTCAGTAATTAGTTTTATAAAGCGATCCATCTGATCCGAGAAGATAAACGTTGACTTACCATTCGCACAATAGGGACAGTAGGTTTTCGAGAAGATGACAACTTTGTTTTGTGAAACCAAATTTTGAATGGCTGTTTTAATGGACATGACGATGAATCTATTTTTTGTATTTGTGTTTCGGACCCTAATACATTGTTTGAACACTTCTTGTTGTCATCATTGAACACACAGAGGACGCATTAACCCCCATCAAAGAGCCGATATATTGAGAAAACAAAATTTCTCCACCACTTGAATTTCTAATTGCAGCGTTCTCCCTTCCAAAATGAATGAACAAGAGTTGTTGTTGTAAATCCATGCCATCCATTTTCATTGGTCGCGCGTTGAGTGTTATTTATAATATGAAAACACAGTCTGACTCAGACTTGTGAATCGTATGGCATGTATGTCATCTGGCGGAAGAATATCGTTGACCATTTATAATTTCTTCAAAAAAAAAATGCCTTCCTTGTCCCAAAAGCTTTCGGAGGCCATCAAGAAGAAGAAACATTATGGTAGGGTGGGCTCTGAATCTCCATTCAATTCTCGGAATCAGTTAAATGAAGAGCTACTGAACGCTCCTCATCCTGCAAATACGAATAATGATCAAACTGCTTTATTGGAAACACAATACAGCCCACCCGGAGTAGAAGGACGGATAGGAATATATGCATCTCGGAATGCTGATATGGATATTGAGGGAGCTCGCATGATCGACGACGCTTCAACACTCATTGTTGAATCACCCAATGACTTGGGACGTGGATTTATAACAAAAGAGTCGTTTGTACAACCATCTATTTCATCGTCTCGCCAAGTACACTCGGCGTATAATATGACAAGAGCAGGACAATCCTCATTCAAAAAAATGGGCTCACCGCATGATAACCACAAATCATCTTCAGACCAGATTAAGAAATCTATTTCTGTTACTAACATCAGTCAATCTTCATCAAGAACCTCTCTAGCTGGCATTATTCCTCCTGGTTATGCTATAAAGAAAAAACAAAGTTTTAGACTTTTTCCTACTATTAGTTTAGGTCACAGTGAGGAAAAAGATCTGGAAAATAGGTGAGTTAGCATGAACACAAATCTAGATCAGACTAATGTATTATTGTGATATTGTTCACATGTATTAGTAGTGTGTTTTTTGATTTAGAAAAGCCAAAGAAATCAGATGAAAAAGAAAAAAAGAAACTCAAGAAAAGAATTTTTCTTTCCATGTACAGATGCTCCATTTTACTTATTTCGTTCTTTCTGTTATCAATTTTTGTATTTTTCACTGTATCAGCAGTTAATTCTGCAAAAGATGATGGATATTATACTAATGGAAGTCCCACAACATTATTGTGGATATCTGGACTCTCCATGCTTTTGACACTTTGTATCATTTTTGAGCTAGCTGCAAATTTTGCAGTGGTGAATGTATTTAGGAATTGCTTTAAGTTAAGAAAACCTTCCGACGTTATACATTATGATTCGTATTTTGCAATATTTGTATATAGATGTGCAGTTTTTTTACTCTTCTTCTCACTGGGCGCTATTAATTGGATATGCTATGCCTTATTTATTGAGAGCAGAGATCATTTAGCTGGATGGGTTTCTCTGTACATGATGGTTCCCTTGTTTGGATTTTTAATTATTGCCTACAATCAGTACTCAACTTTGAAGGTTGAGATGATTGATTTTGAGCATGAAGAACATTTTTTCACAGGCAGAAATGTGTTGTGTTGCCTGTCAGGGTTTATATTGAAATTCATCACTTTCATTAGTTTTATTTCAATTGGAACCATTATGATTCTGTTCACCATTCAATCCATTGCTCTCATTGATGACATGGTGCAAGCACCAGGAAAGAAATGGTCCATTACCTTAAATCATCACACCTACAAAGTGCACATGTATTGTGAGGGTAATGAGAAATCTTCAAATGTAGCACTTATTGATGCTGACATTGGTATTGCTTCTCCATACGAATATATGAAGAAATTAGTGACAACACTTGCATCGAATGGAGTTAGAGCTTGTGTTATTGAGAGAGGTGGTTATGGATTTTCAGATACAGGTCCCTTACCTCGAGATGTCAACAACACTGTCATTGAAGTCGTGAATGCAGTGTACGAATCAAGAATGCGAGTTCCTTTTCTTTACATTGCTCACTCTGCAGCATCTTTTACTGCACGAAAGTTAGCAGCAGAGTATCCTGAGCTTTTATCAGGTATGCTATTGTTGCATCCTGCTCATGAAGATATTGAAAGTGTGATGCTGAGACAAGTTAAGAATTTAACAGAGTCTGAAATTTTGAAAAGAAAGAGAGACAGGGATTACATTGACGACACCATTCGCTATTTAACTCCTATTGCTCTTCCTAGACTTTTCAAATATTTTCACGTTGAATTTTTACTCGAATACGAAGACCCTTATGAGCTGTATTACATGAATGGCTGGAAAAATTATTTTTATTCCTTACTCAATATCACAGAACAGAATTCAATCAATCGAAGAATTATTTTCCAAAACAAGTATGCTGGGTGCGTTTGGAGTGAGTTGAATCATTTTCTGACCGACTCTGCAGACGTGGTTAGAAACATGAGACCCAAGAATGGAACAACGACCATTCCTGTTGGGATACTCACTGCAGGAAATCTCCTCTATGGAGATTGCACTTCCAATCACTATCAAGAAGACAGCCTTATGTGTGAACATTTTCACAAGTGGAAAGAGGGAAGGCAAAAAGCTCTCCTCATGTTACATCAAGATTTAGCAAAATTGTACAAGGCTGAATGGCACATAATTGAATCATCTTACGACATTCCTATTGACTCTCCCGAAATTGTTACAAGTCATGCCAAGCGATTGTTGAGAATGCCATAAATCGATGCTTATATAGAACGTGTTTGAGTTGAAAAGAGACTTTAATGCCAAATAATTTTATCTGGAGGAATTTGGGTCAAGCTTTTTAAATCTGGATTATCCTCGAATATTGATTTTACCATTGTTATTCGTCCAATGAAGTTTGTGTATGAATAAATATAGAACAATGCAGGGAATTCTGTGAATAAATTTCTGTATCTCTTCTTATTGGAGTCCTCCTTGGCTGTAGATTCTAATAAATAGTGAGAATTCGTTTTACAAGCTCTTTTCTGCTGCTCAGTTAATCGATCAACATTGAAGTTAGTCAATTGTTCAGTGAGAGAGGTTATCCATTTCTCACGACTCCAATTTCTACCATTAGATTTAGAGGTCGTGTTGGTTGGTGGTACTAATGAAATAATTTGGCCACTGGATGAGCTCGCTGTTCCTGAAGAGAGAGTGACATCTTCCATATCTTCCGCTTCCGTTGTTGAACTAGTCGTAATTACTTGGTCTGTTATTGCATAATGATCAACCTCCTCTTCCTCCTCATCGCTTGTTAAAAGTACCACTTCTCCCTCATTATCAACATCTTCTATGGATGCATTCCTTTCAAAAAGAAATGATGAATTAGATCCATAGCAGTTCAATGTATCATTTATATATCTCTCACGCAATAATTCCGGTGATTGTTTCAAGTCTGAAGACTCTTTAGCAAAACTTTCTTTGATTTTCTGTGCTGATTCAATAAAATGATGATAATCATCTAAAAATTCATTGCTATTGTTGGTGAGAAAAGAAATCAAGGTTTGAATAGAGGTCGAGGCAGCTCCTAAACCCCACGTTCGTAGACGTTTTAAAAATCCTCGCAAAAACTCTTGCTTGTTTTGGCTTGATGTGTGTTCAAATAACGGCGTTACTTTCCTCTTTTTATGTTCACCATATTCCGAAGGTGATGGTGAAGTAACATGTTTTTTCGTTGCTTGATCTGTTTGGATCTGCAACGATCCCGATGATGATGCATTCATGTGATGTGATTGAATTGAATTTAAATTTTTTTAAAATTAAAATTCAGTAAAAAATTCCTTAATTTGAGACCAACAGAAAGTAAACATCCTTTGACTGCCGAGATGGACGTACCCTTATCATCGTTCAGCAGTAACGGAACCAGTCCTCAAGAAGGAGTTTTGAAGGAAGAGCCAGAAAGAACCTCTACTAATGGATGGATGGCCAAACTGGAGAATGATCCATCGCTTTGGAATGATCATCAAGATATCGCAGACATCATCAACAATAAGGTTTCAATGGATGATATTGAAATGTCTGAGGAAGAGCGAATTGAAAAGCTGAAGAAAGAAATTGCTTTGTTAAGTGGAAGTATTAAAGAACAAGAATTGAAGACTAAGACAGTCTCTCAAACTTTTGGTCCCGTTCAAGGAAACAACAAGTTTACTTCCCCATCAACAAACGGATCGTTCTCATCACCTCCACAAGCCAAAGCAAACACTCTCATCACTTCATCTCCAGCCCTAACAATGGACGACCTTGCAGACTCTCCCTTATTTGTAAAAGTTTCATCTCCTTCCTCCGAAAAGAAAGCTCCTCAAGCATCGAACGTGGACAAATCCTATCAGGATTTCCTGTTTACCAAAAACCAGCTTTCTTTGGTTGTTGAAGAATTAGAAGAACAACGACTTGTGCTGGAAGAAGAGGGCTATTTTACTCAGGCCGAGCAGGTTCATGAAAAGATCAAGGAAATTTACAAGAAAGAGGCTTCAAAAATTGAGACCTCGTTTGTTAATGTTGTGAATGCTTTAAAACTCGAGCTTGTTTCGGTGATGTCCATGGAAATGGATGCGTTTGAGCAAGTTTGGAAACAAAAAACAGCTCAATTTGAGGGTCAAGCGAAAGAATTACTAAGATCTTGTGAACAAAGACAGAATGATGAACTAAAAAAAACAGAACAAGTAATGAGACAACAAATGCATATTCACAAACCCAAGTTTTCAAAAACCGTTCTGGAACAACGTGCTAGAATACTGACATTGGTTAGAACAAAGAATTACAAACAAGCGGAAATGCTAAAAAATCAATTAATTCCTTTGGAGTTGAAAGAGATTGAAAAATTCGAAAAACACCAAGAAGAAAAATTGAAAAAGAAGCTTTCCTATGTTGAATCAAGACACAAAATGGAAATGGATGTTCTCACCCAGAGAATAATGTCTGGTAGACGAGAATTGGAGAATATCAAAAGAAAAGATTTAAATGCCATCACACAACAACAAACCGTGATCATTCAAGAATTTGAAAATAAGTACAAGAAAGCTTTATCCCAAATCAAACAATTTATTAACAAGCTCGAAGGAGTTGTATCCACAAAGAGAAGAACAACGTCCAATTTCTTTGATACCTTACCTCGTGAAATTGAAACCTTCAAAACTACATACTGTAATTTACTTGAACAGCTGAAAGATGACTTCAAAAGAAATTATCCTCAAGAAGAGAAATTGGAAGAATCCACCAAGCTATCCACGGAGAACAAGTGGTTAATTGTTGAAAATCAACTATAAATGTACCATTATCCAATTTTTATTCTACACCTTAGTATCGATGTTATTAGGGCCTTCAATTTGGAGTTGGCAATGATTGGCGATATGAATCTTGATAAATTCAAGGATCTCCAAAATGTTGTATTGCGTCAGTGAAGTGTCTTTCCTTTCCTTTCCCTTCCATAAATAAATTGGCATTTTGATATTTTCAAGACCATATTCTTTCATCAATAATAACAATTCCTCAATGGTTTGGCTTGTTTTAGGCATAATATTCAAGTTCATATCCATTAAGAATGTTCGTCGGTTCTTGGGTGACTTGGGGCAGCAAACTAGTAATTTCTTCACAAGCTTGGAATGTTTTGCAAGAGCTTGCTGTACCTTTTCCACTCTTTCAATTGTAAAATCATCGAAAGGAACTTCAAAGGTGAAGACGTCCGACAATTTAACATCTTCATCTGTCCAGTGCTTGCATAATTTTTGAGGAGAGTCATTTGGTTGATATCTTAATACTAAGCCATCTGGCGTGTTTACAAACCCGGTCGGGATTATTCTCAAGCCTGTAGTATTGGAAGCCATCCTATGTGCCTTTACAAAGTTATTTTGTGCCTTTTGTCGCAAAATTTTCATCTCGTGGCTCTCATACCATACTCCAAATGCTTTGCAAAGATAAACCATATTTTCAAATTGTTTTTTTTGCAGTGACTTGTTCAAACTAGCTCTCGAAACAATGCTTCTTGCATTGATAAACGAGTCAGAGTAAGTAGTGGATACATTTTCGGTCTTTGTGGTGATGTTGACATCCCTTAGTTGTTGGTTTGATGGAACAGATTGGCTATGGTTTGTGGAAGGACTAGTGTTTACGTCTTTCTTCGAGCTCGAATTTGATGAATCTGATAAAGAGTTTTCTTCTATTTCAACCACCTCGTGTTTGGCTAAAACATCTCCGAACTTTTGAATGAATGAATCGTCTGAGTTGAGAGAAGTATTAATTGAACTTTCATGTGTTGTTTTGTTTCTTGGAGTCATAGAAGTTTCCATAGAAATATAGGCTGGCACCTTGTCCTGAACTTTTGATGGGGTCTTGGATGGTGTTTTTGAAGGAGTTTTTGTGATTTTGCTTGGGGAAGAATGGTTTGGTGTTGCAACAACAGGCTCTGATGAAGTCAATGTTTTGTGAAGAGCAAAACTAAGAATGAAATGAGTAATCTTTCCGTCGAGCTGGTTGGATTCATCCCTTGAAACAAAGTCGTCTGCATTATTTGCTTCTGATTCTTGAGTTTCGAAAATCTCTACTAAGACAAGAGTGTTCAATTGTGAATTAGCCTTTGTTCTAAACGCTGCAACGATATTTCTTCCATTTTCATCAATGATCCTCACATCCGAGAAGTAATCCATTTCTGCAAAGCCCAAATGCTTCAACAGTGCGCCTCTTAATGCAGACATCCATAAAGGAAATGCTTTGAGCTCATTATGAATTTGATGTCTAGCAAAAGGACTCTGTACGAATAATAAAGCAAGTATGATAGAAAGTTCCACTTTGAGAAGCTTGTTAGCGACATTGATTGAACTGAGCTGCTTCTGTTCGTTTGTCTTTGTTGTCTCAAGACATGCTTTCAATAATACAGAAAAAGATTGGAAGTGGGAGACAACCTCTCTTGCCAACCGTTGACTAGGTGGAGCAAACTGCAGCAAATATCTGAATGCGCGTGTTGCTAATGAGGCAGGTCTAACTGAACATTGTTTCAAAACTCTAATGAAGGACTTCCAGTAGCCTTTTTGAATGAATTCTTCATGAAACTCAAGCTTCTCGATGTCAGAGTCGTATTGCTGTGAGGAGAATATAGTTTCTAATAGTTTACAAGTTGCCTCCAGTACGTCTCTGGAAGTTTCTTTAAGCAGTCTATCATTAAGTACCTTGCTCAACGTTGGGACAGAAACAAATTGAAATGATTTGGGCTCTGTTTTAAATAATACTTCCAATAACTCTGCACAAAGAGCTCTAACCTCAAGGCTTGGGTCAGAGTTAAGCGCTTTGACACATATTTGAATAGCATTGTCTTTCAACAATTCTTCAGGGAATGAAGTGCTGAACTCTCTTAAGATAGCACAACAGTAGCTCCTTATCAATTGGTTGGGCTCAGTTTCCAAGCATTTGAGAATAATTGGAACTCCTTTCTGAATGAGAACAGCCAATCTTCCAACTTCATTTCTTACCACAAAGAAAAACAAGCACTCTGCCACGGCTAGCCTTACTTCCTCGTCCCCCACAGCATTTCCAGAACGAGAAGAATCTTCCAACTCAGATATTTCTTCTCTACTCAAATAATCAAGCATGATATCAATTCCGTGGTCTTGAACAATACTTTCAGCACATAATTTGGAGAGAGATTTTATCACTGACTCTCCTGCTGTTTCTTCATACATATTTCTTGATTCGTAGGAGCAAATACTGACCAATTTGCTTAAACATTTCAAAGCATAAACTTTGAGGTGATTCAGCAATTGATCAATTTCATTAGCAATTTGAAATTGTGCACTCTTGTCCTCATAGCTGCGTTCAAAGGCCGAAGATTTAAAATAAGAAGGAAGAGAAATAAAATCTAACAGTAATGAAATGATAGAACTCTCTTCTCTTTGGTATGATCCGAATACAAGTTGCTTAAGTCTTTCGGGCTCAGGATCAGAAGAAAGCAAGGTAACGGCGAGTTGGAAGCACTCTAAGGCTTGATCTACATTGTCCATATTCAAGTCATCATCAAGCTGATTTAAATATCGTTTAATATTAGTAAGGCAGGAATCCAGGCACTCACAAATATTTGCCATACACTCCACTTCCTCTTCTAATGAGGGAGCGTGAGATGGAACCACCTGTTGCTGTTGTTGATTCGTCTTCATGGCAGAACGAGGAGAGTTTGAGTTCTTATCAGTAACACTACCTGCCTTACTTCCTGCTTTGGGCGATGACTTGGGCGATAGAACCACCTCGTTTGAGAGCACTGATGACATGATGAAGCCAAATTGCTTTGAGAATTTTTTTGCTGCGTAACTGAAAAATTGCCAAATCAGCAAACACACCCGTTCATCATCATCACTTGACTCTGTGGTTATGATTGTACTCAAATATTATTGCTGAATTCTTATATAATCTAAATATCTATTATGAATAATTTTTTAAAGGGTGAACTGTCTTGAAGACAACTTCAAAGCTCGAATTTTTTGAATGAAATCTGTCAAGCCTTCCATGAGTATATACCATTCCCGTAACGATTCTCCAATTAAATTCTTAAAAAAGAACCAATCTATTACTTTTTGGACGTTCTCAGAGTCCCAAAGAAACTCTCAGCATGACCGGAAACTGTTGTTCATCAATGTCTCGCCACAGATGGACAACAGTTCATTTCATACATGACGTTAGAAAAAGAAGTTTTCACCCGCCGTTTGTATTTCTTACTAATGTGTGTTGATGAAAAGCATATTTGAAAGTTTACAAAATGCTCATCGTTATTTGAAGCAAGACAAAAAACCGAAACAACAACCTTGTACTCATTGACTTGGAATGCATCTTCGGAAAGATCAAGCTCGGAAAGGCTTTTTTCATTCTATTCTTCCATTGCTGCTTCTTCTTTCCTCATTCCTAATATTCGTACTTCTGAATGGACCGATTCAAACAACAACAGTAACAACAACAACAACCACCACCACCACAAAATACTCTTCCTTCTTCTTTGTACAAGCCATGAACTTGGATGTGTTCGTTCAAGGAGGTCAAATCGTCATGGACAATCGAGAGTTTCCCTTCATGGCCTCCATGCAATATCAACCCAGCATTGGCCGAGATCCCTACCACCGTTGTGGAGGCACCATTATTGCCAAACGATGGATCCTTACGGCAGCTCATTGTGTTGTGCTCTCGGGCAATGTCATTCCCTCAGAGAAACTCTCAGTCATGGTAGGCTCTTATCGGCTCTCCACTTGTAGTCTGGAAGGATTTCACGATGAGGAGCAGATGAATTCGGGCACTACTACTACGAGTACCACCACCACCAGTAGTAGTAGTACCACTATGACTCGCAAGACTCAATTCAGGTTTTGGAATTGTGTGAGAGCGAGAGTGAAGCAGGCTCATGTTCATCCTCACTACAGTGATGCTTTTGCAGCCAATGATGTTTCCTTATTGGAGCTCTATGAGGATTTGCCCTTCTCTTCATCGATTCAACCCATTGCCTTAACATTGAGAAGACCCTCCTTCGGTACTCAGCATATGGTCACTGGTTGGGGATATTACAGTGGAGCCAATAAGGTGTCTGACTATATGAGAAAGGGATTTGTACCCATTGTACCAGATTCGGAGTGTAATGAGTTGAGATTGGGAATGGCCACGTCGAGAGGACAGACCTGTGCAGGAGCTGGTAAAGGTGTTGACACTTGTAAGTTGTTATTGATTGATTCATTGAGGAGTGTGTGATGCCAATGTGACTTGTGAATGTTTATGAATCACCAATTTCCTTTTCATGCCCAATGTTAACGAAATAATGAACTATAATGATGATAATGATAATCACAAATATATAGGCGCTGGCGATTCTGGTGGACCTTTGTTTTTCGTTCAAAATGGGATTTACACTCAAACGGGTCTAACAAGGTATGTAAAAATTGAGATAATTCAAAATTGAGCCTCTTTGACTTTTTAAACACATGTTCACTGGGAAATATACGAGAACAGTTATGGACCTGACAAGTGTGGTGTTGAAGAATCTTACAGTAATCGAGGAGTATACACCTCTGTGGATTTCCATCAACAATGGATCATGTCCTTAACAAATCTCACGTCCTCTGGTAATTTCACCAAATTCGAAATGCATGCCGTTGGAGAAGCTCCTTCCACTCGATATTCATCGACACTTGTGATGGGAGTTCTTCTTTTCTTTTGGGTTGTCTTGGTTCAATAACTTTAATTCTACATCTACAGTTTAGTATTGAATGTTCGAAGTCCAACATTGAATTTCTCTACAGACTGTGGAGATGAACATTGATGAATGGGAGCATGCTTGGTAGGACAGGATTTCATGAAGGTTCACCAAAAGAAACTTCTTAAAGTTGAACGTTGACCTAGAAACTGTGTGCCATCGATTCTCTTTGCACTGCTGCATGTCAGTGGATGACACCAAAGGTGGCACTTTGGATTGTCTTGGAGATCTTCACACCAAAGGCAAATGGATTTTCTCGAGAAAACTCTCTCTTTCACAACGCCAAAAGCGACAAATTTTCCTTTTCCTCTCTCTCTCCGTATTACTATGGAGGAGAGCACCTGAGAATCCCATCAACCAACAATAATAATTTAATAATAAACAACAACAAAACCACCACCACCACTTTCACCTCACCACGTAAAAAATGATCTCATCATCCTCTTCATCGTTATTCTTTCGAACTTGTTGTTTGAAAAGCACAACCAAATCCAGCCTCTCCTCTCTGCTTCTCTCCAATCCGAATAGTGCTTTCACCAACTGTATTCAAAAACGTTTTCTCAACATCCACGAATATCAGGCTCAAGAGCTATTCAGAAAATATGATATTGCTGTTCCCAGAGGTAAAGTCATCACGAATGTAACCGAAGTCAAAAAAGCCTGCATTGAATTGGGCTACAATGTGGATTATATTGTGAAGGCTCAAGTCTTGGCCGGTGGAAGAGGACGAGGAAAATTCAAGAATGGTCTCAAAGGTGGTGTCCAAAAAGCACTTTCCGTTGCAGAAGCTGAAGAATATGCTTCTAAAATGTTGGGTCAAGTCCTTGTAACCAAACAAACTGGACCTGAAGGAAAGCCATGTAACAAGGTTTATATTCAAGAAAGACTTTATGCTCGTCGAGAATTATATCTCGCCATTTTACTGGATCGACAATCGGGTGGACCTGTTTTAATCGGAAGTACTCAAGGAGGAATGGCTATTGAAGATGTTGCTAAGGAGAGCCCTGAAGAAATTCACACCATTCAAATCAGTGTTAAAGATGGATTGAAAAAGTCTCAAGCGGAAGAGTTAGCTCAAAAATTAGGTTTTTCTCGTGATGACATGATGCAACAAGCGGTCGACCAAATTACAAAACTTTATAATTTGTTCATGAAGACAGATGCAGTTCTTCTGGAAATCAATCCTTTAATTGAAACTGCTGATGGAAAAGTGATTTGTGCTGATGCTAAAATTAATATTGATGACAATGCTGCGTTCCGTCAAAAAGAACTTTTTGCTCTCAAAGACATTTCACAAGAAGATCCTAGAGATGTTCGTGCTGCAAAATATGATTTGAATTACATTGGTCTTGATGGTAATATTGGATGTATTGTTAACGGAGCAGGTTTGGCCATGGCCACTATGGATATCATTAAATTATATGGTGGAGACCCAGCTAACTTTTTGGATGTGGGTGGTGGTGCATCTCAGGACCAAATTGTGGAGGCTCTTAAGATTCTCAATGATGATCATCATGTTCAAGCAATTTTGGTGAATATTTTCGGAGGTATTATGAGATGTGACCTTATTGCGCAAGGTTTGATTAATGCTGTGAAGGAGACTGAGTTGAGAGCTCCAGTTGTTGTTCGTTTGCAGGGTACCAATGTGCAACAAGCGAAGGATATCCTTGCCAAGAGCGGAATTCGTATCATTCCAGCTGATAATCTCGAGGACGCTGCTCAGAAGGCTGTGAAAATTGCATCCATTGTCGTCAACGCAACGGATTTGGGCTTGAAAGTTAATTTTGAACTCAAGTAACTTATTATTCCCTAGTTTTATTGGCTTCTACTGACTCGAGAGGGGCTCTATGACCGCAAAGACAGCTTTCAAAATTCGTTTGTAGGGTTTCTGAAATGAATTTTTTTCAATTAAAATGATAAAAATATCCGAAAACCATAAACGAAGGGATTCGTTGTTGGAACAAATGAAGCAAGGGAACACCGTGATTGAATAGGTGGTTGAGGTCAAGCTTGTTCAATGATGAATTCCTTCATGTGTAACCTATTGTGTATAGGAAGAGCCGAATGACGGTTTCATCTCCTTCTTGTTTGGCTTCTTGGTATGAAGAGGTGAGTCGATTGTTTCCACAAAAAGCTGGGGCTGTGTGGATCCGCAAGGTGAAGCAAGTGTGTTCTGGCCGTGTGGGAGTGGTTAAAAGCTTCGACAAAGCAAGTGGCAGACAAACATTAAGGAGTAGTGATTAGAAAGTACACTCTGACAACCAATAACTTTTGTTGAACAAGGTCAGAGGAGGTTGTTTATTTGAAGAACATAAAAAATCTCAATTTGATCTAGTGATTCGAATTTCAATTTGTTGTCCATCCACAACATTTTCACTTCTCACTAAAAATTGCAAATAATTCATTTCGCTTTGTTTCACAAAAAGAGCGTTTTGGGGCATCACTCGAACATCAAATCCATTTGGATAGTAAAATTCTTGATTGAAATAAACTACAGTAGGTTGGGAATCACAATTAAGGGACTTGATATACGTAAATAAGAGATAAAAGTCTGAAAACAAGGGGTCAAATGTCATTCCTACCGGGTTTCCACAAATTGCTTGTGCATAGGTTCTACTTAGGGCTTTGACTTTTCTTGATTGAAGTTCTCCATTGGGTCCATAAAAGCTTTCGATGGTTGGTGGAGAGGCTGCTGTGGTCACATCATTGTAATATTTAAATTGCCAATATCTGTACAACCAATGAATCAATTGAGACAAATGGTAAACATTCATCACATTTTGCAAGATTAACAAACAAAAAGCAAAACATACGTCCATGATCTCAAATACTCGTCAGCAAGCCCTGTTATCCACTCAATTTCGTGTTCACTTTGAGTAAAATTACCTGTCAAATTAATTGTTTGAGCATTCAATATACGAAGTTATGCACTGCTCTCCATTTAAACCAAAAATTACTTACTAAGAGCTCCAAATTCAGTCATGAAACCTCCAGTCTAGATTGTTGTTAAATAATAACATTCAACAAGAAAAAGAATTGAAATTTTGTGAAATTATTTTGACCTTAATATGATTGATCATCATATTTTGAAACTCACTTTAAATCTTTTAACATCATATTCCTTTGCTCCCAAAACAGCATCATCCCCGATTTGGCAGATGAATCTGTTATTTGGATCTCCAGTACTATTGACATCAAAACAATACACGTGGTAAGAGAAGACTTGTTTGTCCAAGTCTTGAGTTCCCAAAGGACTCTCATCAAATCCCGATGAAAGCAAATCCGTTACTGCTTGTTCTAGATTTTGGAAATAATTGAATCATATCCAAAATACAGTACAACATGAATGAATGATAAACAATGATCAAAAGAATGATTAAGCAAATCAAAATAATCATTCAACAAGATGATGATGATCAACCACACGCACACATACCAAAAAACACTAAATGATTTTTGTTCACTGAACGAATGGATTGATAGACTTGCTGATAGAGTGGAAGTAAATTCTTACGATCTGCCTTTCCTGTCTGATCCAACAACAAGCTCAAGTCTGCATAAATATCTCCTGCAAAAGGCTCGTTAATAATTCTTTCAATTTTTTGTAAAGCATTTTAAAGGTATTGAGTCAACGTGTTTACAATAAATCATAAACCAAAAAAAAACACAAAAATTCAAAGTCCATCCTCCCATGATCAAGTACATTTCATAAAGGATCGTATCGTACTTACTCCAATCCCAATACATTTGGTTCATCCTTAAAATAATTTGCTGAATATTTCCAAAAATCAGCAAATGCGTCCCGCACGCCATTAACGTTATCATAAAAATTCTGAAAGGCGTTAGAGGCAGCTGTTGTGAGATAATATTGGAAGAAGGCATGTTGTAAGCAATCACTCACAATGGGTGCATGTGTGGTTTGATTGATGCGGAGATGGATATTGTTGAATGGATATGGAAATTCGGGAGTGGAATATTGAACTGCCCATCTTGGAAATCCTGTTGAAAGATGTTACATAATATGAATGAGAAATATTAAATATTAAAACGAAATCTTGCAATCATGAGGCTCCTTACATTCTCATCTTACCTTCTCCACAAAATAAATCACTCATCACATCTTGATGGACATCCAAAATGACCATAATTCCATACTTTTCACATTGTCGTATAATACCTTTCAAAATTGCTAAATAATTCGTATCATATTGACCTCGTTTTGGTTCAGTTCCTTCCCATGACAAGTACAATCGAATGACATTGAAACCCCAAGTTCTTAAATTTTGTAAATCCTTATCGGTGAGTGATGTGTTGGTATTGAAATTGTAGAGATCTGGATAAAAGGGAGCAATTTTGTAAACAACATTGACACTGAATGGAATGAACGTGTGAATGTGACAATGAGGAATGGTATGTGTTGTATGGTCATATGAAACATTGATTAACAAAGATGAACATTCATTGATTGTGAAAGCATGATGATACACTTTGTGAGACAAAAATCTCGAGAAGTGTTCTTCTTACCCATGGAAAATTCTAGTTCGATTTGTCTCATCCATGAATTGTTGGGTTGGAGTGTGAACACGAATGAAACAATCAACCAGCATGGTGTTGTGATTCAAGACAAAAACAAGTAGAAGCAAAGGGATGACTCCGATTCGGAAGTGTGTTGTTACTAACATTTTTTTGATGCAGGATGTTGATGGTTCAAATTAATGACAAACGGGTATTTCAAAACAATGCAAAACTCGATAGTACAACATGAGCGAATTTTATTTTCACAAGCTCGTGTGATTCTTTAAATTGACAAAGCCATTGATTTTTCTTCTCTCAACTCCTTGTCAGTAATGTTGAGCTTTTCTCTGGCAAAATCATCAATCTTCAAACCTTGAACAATGGAGACGGTTCCATTCTTGCAAGTAACTGGGAAAGAGAAAATTACACCTTCTGGAATGCCATAAGATCCATCAGAAGGGATGGCCATACTGACCCATTCACCCTCAGGTGTACCCAAAATCCAATCATGCATGTGATCAGTGATTGCCTTAGCAGCTGATGTAGCAGAAGAAAGCTTTCTTGCAGCAATAACTGCAGCTCCTCTCTTTTGAACAGTAGAAATGAAATCTCCCTTCAACCAAGCGTCGTCATTGATGGCTTCATAAATAGACTTTTTCTGTCCATTAATTGTGACATAACCATGAGCAACATCAGGGAATTGAGTTGATGAGTGATTTCCCCAAATAATGACATTATGAACATCAGAAACGTTGATACCGAGACGCTCAGCAACTTGAGCCTTTGCTCTGTTATGATCCAAACGAGTGAGAGCAGAGAAGTTTTCAGCAGGAATTGAAGGTGCATGAGTCTTGGCAATGAGACAATTGGTATTGGCTGGGTTACCAACAACAAGGACCTTGACAGTCTTCTTGGCCCACTTTTCCAAAGCTTCACCTTGTCCCTTGAAAATTGCAGCGTTCTTCTCTAACAAATCCTTTCTCTCCATACCTTCTTTTCTTGGCATGGCACCGACCATGATACAAATATCAATATCACTGAAGGCTTCTTGATAATCACTAGTGGCAACCACCTTTTGGAGCAAAGGATAAGCTGAATCGGTAAGTTCCATACAAACTCCCTTCAAAGCATCCAAAACTTGTGGTACTTCAAGCAAGTGAAGGTGTATTGGCTGATCAAAACCGAGCATTAATCCGCTAGCAACCATACCAATCAAGCTGTATCCGATTTGTCCAGCAGCACCAGTAATCAAAACCTTCAATGTTTGCTTGGTCATTGTGATTCGTGTGTTGTGTCTGTGTGGTTGTATCAACTAAGAAGAAGAAGAGGATTTTTTTTGAATATTTTTTCAAAGTGCTTTTTAAAGCTCCAAATCCGTCTCCACGACGATGATCAGGTCCATATTAATCTCTGCTTGAGGGAATGGTGCTGCTCTTGGTATCAAAATGATGATGAATGATCACATTCAGAAGTTGATGTTTGTTTGTTTGCTTTCACAATCAAGCTTGGTCCGAAATATTTTCCTTTTTGATTGAAGTCAAAGAAAATCCCAAAGAAAATCCCGAGCTGGGATTTTGAAGAAGGAAGAATGAGAGGATTCATTGTTCCGTGGTTGTCGGTTAGGAATCTTGGGATCCCAACTTTGTGAAACACTGTAGTGGTTTAAGAGATTGATCTCATCTACAGTTTTTAATATTCTGTTGTTGAAGCCCATCTTGAAGTGTACTTGGGAACTCTCACACTGCTTTGGGAGATTCTAAGAAAGAGAAGGTTTTCTTTTTTTGGAAACAGGATATCGTTTACTCCATCAAACGGGAAACACAATGAATGTAATGCTTCAGATTTCAACCAGTGATGACATTTCATTGAAAACACTGTGTTCCATCAACAGCAATCTTTTGAAAGTCTTGGTCTGTCTATTTGAGCATTGATTTTCGTTTGAAGTAACGAAGGTTGAGTCCACTCGAGTTAAATTGGCAACTTGGTTCACTCGATGAAGCAACCATTAAAAAACACATCTGTCAAAGAGAGCGCAGCACCTGTCATTCTGTCATCCAGCACACAGAAAAAAAAACCGTTTCGTCCTTCACCCTCTAGTTGCTACCACCCGTTTATCTCCATTACTACAGCAATTCTTTCTTCATCATCATCATCACCAACAATTAACGGATCAAGAACAACAACAACCTCTCACTCTCTCACTTCTAGAAAATGGCAAACCGTATGAACGACTTTGTGTTGCAACAATTATTGGCAGAAAATCAACGTTTAAGAGAAAGTTTAGAAAGTTGTCGAAAGGCCATCCCAATTTCTGAAGCATGTCGAACTCTAATTGATTATTGCAATGATCACAAGTCGAAGGATATGCTCGTGATGGGAGACCCAACCAATCCATACTGGAATCCACCAAAGGATGGCGGTTGTTGTACCATCATGTAATTCTTGTTGTTGTTGTTGTTGTAAATTCAAAGTTGTGGAAATATACAAATCCAATAGTAGTACACACATCACGCCATATCGTAATAACAACAACAATAATTTATATATATAGTTATTATTATTATTATTATTAACAAAATTTATTGGAACATCACCACATGGCAGTGTTGATGTCATTTGTGAGAAGGAGTGAAGAGAGAGAGAGGCAATTGCTTTGAAGTCACTGTGTTGTGTGTGGTTGTTTTCTCTCTCTCTATTACTCTCTCCATGTTGTACCATCATTGTGCTTATTTCCTTTTCATAATCTTTTCACCCTCAAGACTTTCTCCCATTCGCGTTCACTATACCAATCGTACAGAACAATAATAAATAACAACTCGCAAGTAGTTTCGCATTACCAATCACTCTAGTGTATTTCAAATCCCTTGTCGTGTTGGAATTGTCAAAATTTGAAAGTTCAACTCGGAATTGTTTATTGTCATACAATTTCTATTATTGCAACACTTTCTTCTTTTTCTTGTCCTTCTTCTTCTTTGACTGTTGTTGTTCTGATGTCATTTCCACATCATTGTCTTCATCTTGCATCGATGTTGTTGACGAAGATGAAGTTTGCTGTCGTGTCCCAATTGGATTTTTTCGAATATTGAGCAAGTGAGCTTCACACTTTTGCCAGAAAATCTTTAAAGCTCGTCTGAAAATCTCTGCAGGTCCTCCTGGAATAGAACCAACACTTTCGATCGAGAAAATGAAATGATCCTTAACCTTAGATAATTGAACTCTCTTGTCCCAGTCATCTTCACGAATACATTCTCTACACATGGTGCAATTCATTGGACGCGCCACACGAACTTTAGAGTCAAATTCTGTTTGAGGATTTTCCTCAATATCAAAAACATTCATTGGGCACTTTTGAACCAATTCTTTGGCTTGTTCAATATCTGTTATGGGTTCTCCTTTGAAGGTAATTTCTGGTAATAGACGATATGAAGCAGTTGCAACTGGTTGCCACTTGGCATGACTTCTTCCAATACCTTTTACACAGTAACATTGAACATGAATGGATTGACCTGGATTTAACTTGGCCAGTAAAATGTCATCAAAAACAGGCCTAATAGCATTTTCACCGTTGAAATATTCAGCTTGATTACCTATTGGAATCCACTTTAAATCTCCAGAATATACTTTTGCATGCTTGTATTCCAGCTTATTGTTGTTGTGTGGGTTTGGAACGAGTGTCTTTTCACAAGTGACATTTAGTTCAAATAAAATATATTCATTATCCAATAATTCTTCAGGAGGTTGCCAGAAAGGAGTAGATTTGTTGGCGAGGGAAGGAGCATAAGTAGCCATAGTTGGAGTAGGTGGTTGGATATCTTCATCATCATCATCATTTGAGCGATGGTGAGTGTTGTGTTTTGGTTTTTGTGGAGGAGCAAATGCACTGATGTCTTCATTTTGGTTAATATCCCTTGCAAAGTAGAAAAAGTCTGGATCTGCTCGAATCGGAACAAGACCAATTCTATGAGCTAAGACTTCATCCTGAATAATTGATGTATTCGTTATATATACAATCTTTTCAATAGCCATTGAGGGAACTTCAGAAAGCATAATTCTACGGAAAGCATTTGCAATAGGAGCATCAACACCAATCATCTCAAAAACCAAATCATTTTCATCCCTTCTCAAAACATTAATTTGCAAATTGTTCTGAAAATCCTCAAGAGAAAAACTATTATCATAATTTAAATTTGCAAAACTGGAGTGATAGGCAAATGTTGTTGTTTGTGTTGGAGCATATTTTCCAACCCGAACACGAGTCCTCATATCCTCCACTTGAGGAGGAAGGGATGATTTCGAGGAGCCTGTTGTGGTCATTTTTTTCCGTTCAACAAAAATTTTCATCATCACCACAACAACACCGCAGCACCTTTCATAATCATATGAAACTCTTTCGTTCATCACCATCCCCATCGACCAATTATTGGTGGATTCGGAACAACCCCATCAAGAAGAATGGGTTTAAAAAATTCTCTCATCCTGATGGGAAGAGAAGGAATGAATTCAAAAGCTCTCAATGTTCATCATGGATGGCCGTGAGTGGGTTCTCTGAGTTGAATCCGTCGGAGTCATTTTCTTGTTCGTTCCACACGCGCACTCCGAGGTAGGTCGTTTCAACATTCTGCTGAAAAAAAATTCGTGAATTGGTGGACTGTCGTTCTTTTACCTCCTCTTGTTTTTGAAATCCCAACCCACCCCCTACCTCACTTTTAATCATTATTGAACAACAACACTGTTGAAAAGAATGGCTACCACTTCATCCCTAGACCAACAACAATTGCTTTTTATGGAGTCCGAAGATTGTATCCTTGTTACGGAACAAGACCAAGAGAAGGGACGAGCTTCAAAGAAACATTGTCATATTTGGTCTAATATTGACTCAAAAGTTGGAGATGATGATGTCCCTTGCCTTCACAGAGCATTTTCTGTGTTTTTGTTCAATTCCAAGGGACAATTATTGCTTCAACAACGTGCCTCGGAAAAGATTACTTTCCCAGACTATTGGACGAACACTTGCTGCTCTCATCCTCTTTATAATCTTGATTCGGAGCGTGAAGGAAAGAATCAATCCGGTGTTCGTACAGCTGCTCGTAGAAAATTGGAACACGAGCTTGGAATTCCACAATCAAGCATTGATCTAAATCGTTTTATTTATTTGACTAGAATTTTGTATAAGGCCCCAAGCGGAAATCCACAAGACTCACAATGGGGAGAACATGAAGTTGACTATTGTTTGTTTTATGTGTTAACTGAGAAGGAGGATGCTCAATTTGACGAATATTTGAAATCCATGAATTTGAATGAAGTTCGTGCTGTGAAATTTGTCAATTCTGATGAATTATTGCACATGTTGGATGTCTTAAATGAGCAAAAGAAAGAAATTGAAATTACTCCATGGTTTAAATTGATTTGTAGACGATTCCTGTTCAAATGGTGGGAAACTTTGTTACTTTGCATGGAAAAGAACGATTTTTCTGCTTTAGATGCCATGAAGGATCATGAAAATGTCCACAAGTTGAACTAAATAATTTTGACTACTTTATGAACAAACCAGTAAAGGTGATGACATCACTGAATTATCACTTTCATTATTTCCCTTTTGGGATGAACTTTTCAATCATTAATCCATTACGCAAGTTTCAAGAGCCTAGCTCCTTTTATTCCCAAGATATCCCTTAATGGCCGATTAAGAATCAAAACAGATCAACACGAAAATAATTTTCTTTTGATGGATTAATTGCAGAAATTAAAACTCTTTCATTCTCCACAATTTGTTTACTTTACGTCACTGATGGACAGACGGATAAAAAGACGGATGTTGATTAAAAGGTTCTTAATGTGTGAGATTCAACAATTATTAATTCAAGATATTGATTTCTGTATGCAATTAATTGAGATTTGACTTGTGTGTACTTGTGTTAAAGAGATGAAACTTGTCTCTTGCGCTGCTACAAGCTCATTTTATTACAAAGATGTCCTTAATGGCTGATTAAGAATCAAAAAAACAGCAAGCAAGGCAAATAATAATACAGAATAATGATTCTTCACCATTTGTTATGGACATTCTACACATAGCAAGACTAGCCAGGGAATTTTCAATACGTCTTTGGATGGACATTCGGGCACGACGAGGGATGTCGATTTTTAGGTTCTCGCATTCAACAATTTGATCTTTGTATGCCAACTCGTGTTTAAGAGATGAACAAGTGAACTGTACAAGTTAACTCTTGTTCACATTCCTTCAATTCTGTTTCTAATTTGTCAATTTTTCTTTTGAGTTCAACATCTAAAGGAACACCAAAGTCATGATTGGTCGACTTTTGAAGACTCCTCTCAATCTCATCTTTGAGACGTTGAATGAATGAATCAACATTTGAATCTTGCAACGTTTGTCTCTCACGATTGATCTCCAATTGTAAACTTTCATTTTCAAGCTTGTACTCATTCATCTGTTGTTGTTTCTCCTCAAGTTCTGCTTTCAATTTAATTAATCTGTTCCATTTGTTTGCGCAAGTTGATCCTGTAAATCCTTGATGGCAGATCCTTGTTCAGAGAGATGTTTGATCAAAGTTTGACATTGTTGCATGTGTTCAGTGTTTTGATTTACAAGTTTCATTTCAAGAGTTTTCACTTGCTCTTCCAATTCTTTTTTCTGTGCCATCCACTGACTTAATGAATTCAAATCACCCTCTTCAATCTTATAGGGGCGATCAAGTATGTCTTCAAGGTTGGACATGATTTAGTGATGATGGAATGGTTTTTTTTTCTTAAACCGTTAAGACAATAGTTTTGTGGTTCTGTTCACATTTTAGGTAATTGATGCGGAATTCTGCTCAATAACTTGCACTATTCCTCAATGTCAGATTTCAATATGTCCATGACGAGAGAGTCGATACGTTCTTCCATTTGAGAAAATAAAGTCACAACCTTTGAGCCTCGCAATGCATGTTTCGATAGTGGTGGGTAAGAGAACGGAGTTTGTCGTTGATACAATTGATCTACATAATAATTCAACAAAATAAAATGCTTAAATAATAATCGTATGGTGCTAGAAAGGAGAAATGGAAGTTGAGATCCAATAAAATTAATAAAGTCCACGGGATATACCAACTGGAATGCCTCTGTGAGAAAATTGTCAATAATTGAGTAAAATTTTCGTTTCAACACAGCATTGAAATAAGGAAAATATTCTGAAGAATTATTTCCCAAATCGAAGAATATCTTGTGTTTCACTGCAAATCCAATGAAATTTACATGATGAATATCAATGGTGGTAGTGGTGTTGTATCGGAGAGGATAAATGAGATACCAATCTCTTGCAATATCACTTACCCTTAAAATAGGAAGAAACTGGATCTGTCAGGAAATTGGTCATTATTCCATTGCTGTCCACGCCGTCACAAATCCATCCACCAGATTTTTCTAAAGAACTGCACAAAAATAAATATTCGAAGTGATTGTTGTGCTTTTGAACAAAATTATTAATTACTTTTTCGTTTGAAAAACAGCATTCCATCACAAATAAATGTGGAATTATAGAGCTACCAGAACGCTTGCTCTCAAATATTGATAAGAATTCTTCAAAGCTCATATACTGACAAAATTGAAAAGAAAGACCCAATGTGTCCTCTCCATGTCCACTCCAGTAAATAATATTCAACGGAATCACAGAATTTTCTTTCATCCATTTCACACTATTTTCATTGTTTTTTCCATTGAAAAAATTCATTAATTCTTTCGTTTTTTGATAGTCGTAATTACAAATCATATTATAGGTGAGATCCATCCACCGTTTCTCTCCATACACCTTCTCTACACTCTTTACAAAATATAAAAAGTGAAACAAATCATTATGTACATTGATGATACATCTTGAATACTTCTCAAAATTATGAGAGTAATCCTTAATAGCATTACAAATAGACAAATCTGAGCATGCACTCATATCTCCTGTATTTCCTACGAGTAGTAAATGAATACAAGAAGGTCTAACTGAACTCATTCCATCATTACAGTCAGACTGGTTCTTGCAATAATATTCTTCCGTTTGTATCATCTTGGTTCTTGCAAAATTCGTCGACTTTAAGCTCGTATGAGAAGTAGTGATGAATTGCTTCGGAAATAAATGTTTTAATAATAATACAATTCTCTCTATATGATGAGACCATATTTGTAGGGGTGGTGATGATGAATGTGTTGTTTTTGAAATGGGCAATAACGATGATGATGAAAGATGATTGAGATTGGTGAGTGAGCGATGAAAACAAGCGTTCGGATCATGATTTTCACCACCACTATCACCACTACCACGACAATTGTTCTTTTCAATCATCATCACATGGTAAGTGCTTTCCGAAAAAAGGGAGAAGGTTTGAAGAGCAGCATCAAGAGTTAATATTATTCGGGAAGGAGAAGACGAAGAAGAATATTCAAACATTTTTTCTTGTTCTTTCCTATTGGATGATTTATTGGATGATGATGAATACAAATTTGTTCCAATAGTTCAGAAGAACATCGAGTGTCCACAAAACGTTCCTTTTTGAAACAACTCGCGTTCACCATCTCCTGATGAATGATGTTATTCATTGAAAGCGATTGAAAATTTCCAAACCGAAAAAATGTTAAAGCCTTCTGAAGCTTCTTTTCATCCTCTCGTTGCGAGTTCTTCTTCTTCCTCTCGTCATCATGATCGGAGGATGATATTATCAAGGAGAGGAGAAGCAGGGATGGTGGTGATGCATCATGAGGAGGAGGATCCTCAGCAAGTACTGATTCGGCAGGAGGTTCATCAACAACAACAACAACAACGGCATCATGCACATGATGAGAGTTTAATGGTCGGCATAATGAATTCCGAGCCGAGTTTTTCAATTATTGGGAATCAAACACCAATTTATGCAAGTAGTAGCGGATATACATCTAGAGGAAATGCATATCAACAACGTCAACCAACAATTATTTATGAACAGAACAATCAACCGATGCTTGGTTATGTTTCAAGGAGTAGTAGTGTTGGAGTATCGCCTTCAACAAGCGGCGGTGGACGCTACAGCAATTCAGCAAGCAACTCTGCGTTTAAGCCAACTGTTAAAAGCGCATTCATGTCGTCACAATTTTCGAGTGGAAAAAGTTCAAACGTTTTACCTACTTCTTTAGATATTCCTAAAGTATTATTGAATCCAGTTACAAAACAGAGACCTTATAGCCTTTTACAAATGGTCACAGTGGGCTACAGGTCTGTCACCACAAATATTCATCAAAAAATTAATTATGCGGCAAGTCATTCATTATATGATAATCGTCGGATATCGAATGCGCATTCCAGTTCGAGCATTCCAACAGATTTTCCAATTGGTTATTTTACGGACAATGACTTGGAAGGCTCCATTCTTTTGCCACAACACAAACACGTTCGGATGTGGCCTCTGTTATTTCGAAGATTTAAATTTGTGTCATTACTGGGCGAAGGTCGATTTTCGAAAGTTGTTCTTTGCGAAGATGTATTCATTCCAAACAGAAAAGTTGCAATCAAAGTAATGAACCAAAAAGCAAACGAGATTGGAATTCAAGAATCATTACACTACTACAAAATGCAACAACTAGGTTCTTCAAAATCGATATCTAATTTATACTTGACATTCTTTTTCTATGGACATTTTTGTTTAGTTTTTGAACTTTTAGGAGAAAATTTACTCATGTACATTCAACGATATCAGCCCTATACCATGCCAATAACCACTCTGAAAAAGCTAGCGGTGCAACTAATTACAGGGTTAGCATTTATGCGAGATCACAGCATTATCCATGCTGACCTTAAACCTGAAAATATATTAATGGGAAATGAATCTAAGAACTCTCTAAGAATTTCTGACTTTGGAAATGCTCTGGATTTTTGTGATAAACAATTAATAGAATCCAACAAGGGACATCAAATTCAAACATTACTCTACAGAGCCCCTGAGATATTACTAGGATTGAACTCATTCGACTTTCAAATTGATGTTTGGTCGGTTGGATGCATACTCATTGAATGTTACACAGGAAATCCTGCATTTAACTGTTCCTCACCTGAAGAACTCTTTGAACGAATGGTCTCTATTCTAGGACCTGTACCATACTCTATTTATTCATCCTCTAATTTATTGAAACAACAACAACATTTTGACAAGACACTTCAACCATTTAATTATGCAAAAAAACAACACAAAATTTGCAAATATTTGAGATTGAAAAAGAATGTAGAAAATGACTTGGCATCTTTTTTGGTTGGATTGCTCGAATACGATCCTGTAAAAAGAATGACACCTTTACAAGCATTGTCACACCCTTTTCTTCAATCTCTCTTTCCATTTTCTTCCATTTTGAATAGTGTTTCACAACAATTAATTTCTTCATTGAAGTATGAAGAGTTGACACAGGAGAATGAACAACAGAAACAGACCATTGATCAATTATTGATACAAATTCAAGAATTGAAACAAGTTCATAGAAAACGACATGAAATATCTTCATCAGTGCCGTCGTCATCTGTGATACATTACGAAAATGGCAACACCATGATATTTGTTGATGGAGCTCAGTCTTCGGTCAACCCTTCCATTCCACATCGTCAACAACAATCTCCTCGCACTCCATCAACAGCAATGACAGCACCGAATGCTGCTTCATTCTCTTCTCCAACTACAACAACCAGTTCTAACACCGCCAGCTCTGCAACTCCCTCAACAACCGCTACTGTGGGTGTGATGCCAACAACATCCGTCTCATTATCAGTAGTCCATTCATATGAACCACCAAACAAGAAAACAAAAACAGAAAACACAATTTCAGGGCAGAATTATGCCTCATTCGCAAACGTTGTTAAAAACAAAACCAATCATCTTGTGCAGGCACTTCCAAAATCCTCACGATTGAACTGTGAAAAGTGTGACAGCACGTTTTGTGAATTCACAGAACACTCGAACTCTCAATATGTTGTGAAATGTAAGAAATGCAAACATGTTTTTATTAGAAACAAAAAATAATAATAATTTAGTCGACCTTGATACTACCGTAAATGGTCTTGACAAACCACAATGAAGTAAAGAAACCAACTGCTCCTGTCAAAACAAAGAAGAAATAGCACAAAATCGATGAATATCCAAAGTAGAATAGGGCCATCATGAATGTATCAATCTCAAGCGAGGTGAAGTAGTAGAATGCAGAATAGATAAATAGATACAAGGCAGAGCTTCCGCTGCATAAGAATGATCTCCACCACCAACGGTAATCCTCATTGCATAATTGGAAGTAAACAAATACAACACTAATTTCTGCAGAGGTGGCAATCAAAATGAGGAAAACTACAAACAAAAATCCAAACAGATAGTAATATTGGTGCAACCAAATAGAACTTAAAATAAAGTAGGATTGAATGAAAACGCTACCAAATGGTAAAACACCTCCCATCAAAACTGCAATAACAGGATGCATATAGATAGGTTGGACTGGAATTTGTCTTGGAATTTGTAAGGTCTTGACTGGTACTTCAATTTCCTTTGCTCTAAATCCAAAGAAACCACCGATAACAACAAGAGGAACAGAAATAGCAAGCCATAAACCAAATATTTCGAGTAATGAGAGGAATGGAAGAGCAGATGTTGAATGAACAGAAACCCAAACCAAGAAGTTGATAAATGTGAAAAGAGACAATGGAATGGCAGGGAAGGCAAAAGCAGCAAGAAGTGAAACTGTTTTCCATGCTTTTCCTTGGAACATCTTGTAAAGTCTCAAAGTGACATAACCATTTACAATTCCCATAAATGCAAACAAAACCATAATAGCAGTTGGAAGAGATCCTCTACTCTCAGGAGAAATAAATCCAATTAAAGAGAAGAAGAGAGCAACAATCAAGCATCCTAACACTTGAATACCAGCACCAGCTGCAAGTGCAAGAAGAGTTGAATTCTTTGGCGTACGGAATACATCTCCATGAACAAGTTTCCAACCAGTTTCATCACCTGGATCTTCTTCATCTCTCTCGTTGTATAAGGTGATATCTTTTCTGAGGATTCGAAGCATAATCATACCGACCATACCGGTCAGGAAGAAAACAATAAGCAAAGAGTTGATGATCGAGAACCAGTGAATACGATAGTCATCAGGATTATCTTCAGTGTTAATGTATGCATCAAATCTAGATCCCCATGCAATTAAACCTTCCTTCCAAATTACTGAATATGAATATTCGACCTTTGTCAATTTGTCATCAATGACCAATCTGTCAATGTCGTTGCCACTAGGTAATCCCTTTCCATCCTTACATGAATCTGCAGTGTGTTCCACACTTGTTGGATAAACCTCAGCACCAACAATGACTTTTCTTCCATTCTTTCTGGTATGATAATACAATACAAATGTCAAGTGATTGTTCAAGTAATAATTGTACTTGTCAGCTCCGTCAACAGAAGAGATTTTTTCCTTGCAACCAACTGGAAAACCATCAGGACGAGAATATTTGGTGAGCTTTTTCTGGCTCTTGATTTCTTCTACTGATGGAGGTGGATTTCCGCAAGCAGTGTATCCTTGCAAGTTGGCAAATGGAAGCTGATCGACCACCAATTGAGCCAAATAATCCTCATCAATCTTTTCTTTCAAATTCTTGATATCATCAGGAGTGAGTTTTGTTGGGCATTCGGTGTTTACACATGATGGGCCATCGGATTCTTTACATTCAATGGAGGTCAATCGTTTACAGGTAATATCTTTCATAAATTCAACAGAATAAACGGAATTATGAATACGATCTCCCATTAAATATTCTCCTAAATTCTCAACACTATTCTTAATTTCCTTTGGTTTACAATATGGAACAGAGTAGAAATCAAAGGCCAAATCATGAGTACTAGACAACTTTCTCGTTTTGATTTTAACCGGATCCCCCATATTGTAGTAATTTTCAGGTATACCTGGAAGGAATCCCTCCGTACTAGTGATCATACAACAACACACAAACAAACATGCTAGAGATGCTACCAACAACCCTGAGCCGAAGGGTAACCATGATGATGATGATCCAAACAGACGACCTCTTTGGGGATGAATCAACGTTGAGAAGGCCATATTTTTTTAATTTTTTTTGGCTTTGTTATCCACGTGGCGTTCTCACGGCCCTTCTTCGAAAAGTATTCCAAATGATGCATTTGCGTACGCAAAGAACCAAAGAACCACCATGTCGAGATTTGAAAGACTTTCCAATGCAACAACAAATACCATCCAATGGATCATTACTCACGAGAGGGTGTCCACAGTCACAATGAAGAAGAATGGCACAAAATTTTTCCTGCCCCTTTGTACGATCGCATACTTCAAAGCGGTCCAACACAAAAAAACCGAACAAAGTGTTGTTGGTTGAAGTTTGCCATCAACACCATCAACAACAACAACAACGATACACTTGCAACCTCTCACTTTCTTGAAGAATCCTTGAGAAGTAACCATCACCTCATCTATCATCTGTAAATATATTACAAAAGTTATTATTGTTATATATCATATTTGAGGAGTTTGCTCCGAAGTTTAGATCAATAATTGTTGCCTACTAATTGTATCAACATCATCATTGCTGCAAGATCATTGAATTTCAATACAGTTTATTCTCACCCCAAACATCAATCAACAAATCGTACGACTGATCAATTTTAAGATAGCTCTCTCTTCTCGCGATGGGAAATAGTGCAAACAGACCTGCAAGCTTGGCAGTTAAAATTGCTACCTCTACGAGTAACGAATATAATCCTGCCAAGTGTATCATGGCAGACGAGGAATATGATGATGAAGCGGTTGAGCCCGGACAAATGATCGATTGTAAGGATCAATTATTGAAATCCGGCTCCGTTATTGAGAGTTACCGAGTTGATAAACTAATCGGAAAAGGCACCTATAGCCAAGTGTACAAGTGTGAAAAGAAAGTTCACAACACAAGCCAAAGTTCAACTACATCAGCAACCCTAGCGACAGAAAAGACATTCTCCATCAAGTGTTGTTATGCCAGGAATGAAGCAGATTGGAGACTTATTCTTTCGGAAGTTGGGGCTATGAAAAATCTTCAACATGACAACATCTTGAAATTCTATGAATATTTTGAGATTAACAAGGAAGTACACACCTCAGAAGATCCCATGGTTGCCATTGTGATGGAATATTGTAACAACGGCTCTATTGGAGACTTCATCAAACGAAATCGACACATAACTGCTGACCTTTTACAAATGCTTGACTGGATCGTTCAGGCCATTCATGGCATTGGATATTGCCACAAGATGAATGTAGTTCACAGAGATATCAAGCCTCAGTAAGTATGGACAATGTTGACGCGCAATGTGACATCATGTTTTATGCACACCCAAATCCAGCAACATACTATTACATGCTCCACATGAAAATGGTCGAACCGTGGTAAAATTGTGTGATTTTGGTACGTATTTCTTTAGTTCTGAATTGAACAAAGCAATATCAACCTATTCGACAGGTTTAAGCTCATTGGTAAAGGATAAAACTGAAACATTGAAAACATTTTGTGGATCTCCAATTTACGCAGCTCCAGAAATTAACCGTCTCTCTTATTCATTCTCTGTTGATGTATACAGCTTAGGAGTGACAGCTTTAGAATTGTTATGTAGATTAAATTCATGTGAGTTCCAAAATAGAATTTACAACAAGAGCAGGGATTGTACTTGCCTCGAAAAATTAATTTCAGAACTACCTCTAAAGAGTCTTCAAAAAATAATCAAATTGATGACAAGTTATGATGAAAAGGAGAGAATTACAAGTGAAGAACTTATCAAACATCCAATAGTGAAAGCATTCGAAGCGGTGATTAGTATATCAAGAGGAATTTTGAATACCACATATTTTGAAGCAGCAGATCGTGAATTTATTGAAACGATATTCGAACTGTTAGATTTCTACAAGGAAGATATACCAAAAATTGAAATATTATTCCAAGCAATTGTACAATTATTTCAATTCAAACCGGACAAATGCTTGGAAGTTGTACAGAGTCAAATGAGTCAAATTGGATCTGAGTTTTTATTTATTGAAGGAGTATCTTTGGAATCAAAATCCAGTATATTTTTCATTCTAATATCTATTGGCAGTTGGTTATGTTCTTATCATGAAAGTCTTGATAACAAGAGCCGCAGCGTCAATCACAGCAATAGCTCTTCACAGCTAACGAAAAAATCAAGATCAACCACTCTCTACAATGTTTTTTCTGCCATTAGTGAGCATTCTCCTGGGAATGACGATGAAGAAGATGAGCTTAAACGAAATGTCCTCGTTCTCATTAGCAATATCAAACAGTTTATTTTGGAATTTGCCAATTATGCTGGAGAAAATTATCAAATTACAATTTTAAGCTATTTAGTTCAATCTCTCATGATGGATACAGCAAACAGATCCCCTCCTCCCCTGAACACCTCTCCCCAATCCAATGGAAGTAAGAATAACGTGGGATCATTATTTACAATTGATGACAAATCATTTGTGTTTCTCATGATTCGAGAGATGGTGATTCAATTTGATATTTGTAGACAGGCTGTAATTCTTAAAAACAAGCCACAAGTTTCACCTCCAACAACCAGCAACCTAACCTGTGATCAATATGCGGCCAATCGAATCTATTCTAGTTCTTTTGAAACATCTCCATTACAAACACTTCCCAAAAGTTGTTCGAGTGATGATCTTTCTCGAGATTCATCCACAGAGTTGAGAGAGGCCTTTTTGCGAGCTGTCCATCAAAGACTTTTATCGAGTCAGTGCTGGTGAATCCATAATAAGGAATGCAAGAAGGAGAATATAATTGAAGAGTGAGAATTGGAAAGAGCACTTTAGACGATCAAGAACGAAAAGGAACTTGCTCACAAAAAATTGAACCCACTTCTCATTACCAGCAGAACCCACACAGGACCATGGATTACGGACCTAATTCTATTGCATTTCCCAGTGATCTCTCACAGCTGACCATTACGGAACAACTCGGAGGAAGCTCTCACCCACAAAAAGTGAAAGATCTAACCACCAATCAAGAATATGTCATGAAGAAAGGTTTCAACAAGAGACACGTTGTGAATGAGTATCGAGTGAATTTGTGTTATTACAAGATGGGTTGCCTTGTTCCGCAAGTAAAACTCTACGTGAAAGGAAAGATGGTTTCATCCCTTGAAGGAATTGAATCATTGGCCGATGATGATCACAACGATATTGTTGTCTTGTCAGAATTCATCAACAACGGCATCACGTGGGCAAACTTTCAAAAACAACGTTCCGAACAAGAATGTGATCAAGTAAGAAGAGAAATGGGTCACTTTTTTGTGTTAGATTGTCTCTTTGCAAATCGCGATGTCATTGGTGTGGACGATTCCAACATATTAATTGTCGAGCAACAACAACAAGCGCTTTCACCACGAACATTTTCAGTCTATCGGATTGATAATGGAGGAGCATTGAGTTTCAGGGCACAAGGAAAACCAAAAGATCCAGGCGAATGGGGAGATTTTGTATCGGAGATCAATTTAATGTTGGACGATAGTTTCAATGTCAATACTGCCAATGTATTTGGGAAAGGAGGAGCTGTCGATTCCAACAAAATGTTTCAGCAGATCATGACCATTTCAGATCATGCACAGAGATGTATATATCCATATCTTTCTTCTCAAGATGTTCAAATTGTTAAGGAACGATTGAATTATTTACGAAGTATCGTTGGTTTGTATGACTTTACTGCAACGACCTCCAACAGTACCACTACAACGAGCACAACATTTGAGGTGACAGAAGCTGATCCACAACTCGTTCAAACGTTAATGGAAATGGGTTTCTCGAAAGAACAAAGTTCAGCTGCTTTAATTGCCTCCAACAACAATGTAGAAGCTGCTCTCTCATTCCTATTCTAGAAGAGCTTTGCGAGTCAAACGTCCCTCTTTTTCTCATGCGTTGTAAAATATAAAATCCAATCACGTACCGAGACGATAAATGTGTATCTCAAGTCAATTCCAATTTTTGTGAAAGTTGTCACATGACGCGATCGCAACCACAATTTTAAAAACAAAAAAAAATGCTGAATTCCTTCTCGGCCCTCCGAGTGCTGGTTGCCTCGAAAAGCGTCTATTTGCTCAATCTTGTGGGAGTGCTGTGCTTGGTTCTCATGTACAAGCCCTATTGTAGAGGTAGGTGATCGTTATTGCTCCAAAAATCATTGGTGCTGAATACGGAGATGTTTCAATATGTTATGAATGATTCAATGATTGAAATTGTCCGTGAACTCTCTCATTTCTGATCATTCCGATGACTTGAAACTTTTCAATGATGACGATCATGATCATCCATAGAGGATCAAGGTTCCTTTGTTTCCAAAATTTGCGTTCCTTGTCCTCCTAATTCAAAATGTAGCATTCGTGCAGTAATGGCATGGTAAGTTGTCGTCGTTCTCAGAGAACGTGGAATCTTCGTTCATTCATTCCTCACCACTACATACAAATTGTATTCCTCTACATGTCTGAATGTCGTCCTATCCACCAATGGATGTTTTTCATTTCTCTTTATCAACAGTTCTCCAGGCTACACTCTCAAAAACGAAGAAATTTGTATCAAGGATGACAAGCCTCATCAATTAGCCTACCAACTTTCTTTAGCAATGAAAGAACATCTTGAATATCAATCTTATCTCTATGAATGTATTGGAGAAAAGAATGTGAGCGATAAAGTCGGAGAGAATGATCTATTTACTGTAGCAACTGCATCAGCATTGAAAGAAGTAAAGAATTTGTCTGCTGATGAACGTCTTTTCAATCAAGCCTTTGATTTGGCATTGGAATTGATTTCTGAAAATCCTAAATTGTATCAAATTGCTATTGATGCAAAGAAGCAATTATATTCATACAAGTTTCATTATTGGGGATCCTGTTTATTCAATACATGGCATGGAAAGAAGGCAAAAAGAGGTTCTGAGAATGATATTCAAGAACAAACATCAACTGTTTTGACTCGTGTAAAACGAAGCACTAAAAACACTGTGGAGACGCCAACAAAGAACAACACAAATTCGCAACAGGAAAACATTGGAGAAAAGGAGAAGGAAATTGAAAATTTGAAACAATTATTGAGAGCCAAGGAACAAGAAATTGCTGCTTCAGCAGAAAAGACTAAATTGGAATTGGAATTTTTAAGAAAGAAAGAAGAAGATATTCGACAAGAATTGGAAAAGAAGGAAAATGAATTGTCTAAATTCAAGGATGAAAATGAAAACATTAAAAAGAAGGAACAAGCTCTTTCTGAAGAAGTACAAGCTAAAAAAGCAGCCATTGAAAGATTGGAGAGAGATCTTGCGATTGCTAGTCAAAAGAAAGAGGATGACTTTTTCTAAGTAATAATTACTAAATCTTCACTTTAAGGAAAATGTACTTGAATAGGGCTAGGTTTCTAATGAGAAGTACAATTTTGAAACACTTAATGTATAACAACAATAAACAAATTATTGATCATGAAACAAACTTAAATTCATTATTCTTTTCCAAAATCAAGAGGAATGGTTTTCACATGCAGCTGAGAAGGTTGTGAAGGATCTGACAATTTTGAACAGGATGGCAAGGTCAAGTTCAGCCACAAGTCATTTTCCACACCTTTCTTAAAATTGGCGAAGGAAAGAATTTTATATTGTCCAATTTCATCGTCCGCGGAAAGCCTATCCCAGTCAAAAACTTTCAATTCCATCGAACTCAGCTTTGGGTTGTCGATTTCGAACACAAAGGTTTCGTTCCACACAGGATGAAGATGATTTTGTTTGATGATAGCTGATTTTACTTCTGATCTTTCGGTTTTCATTTTCACATACTACGATTGTTGTTGAGATGTTGATGTGAAATAATAAGAGTGCAATGTCGATGGCGTGTGTGAAGCGTTTAATTGTCGTTTATGCATAATCATGTTTTAAAGGAAAGCTCGTTGTTAGTGAGCACCTCAGAATTAAAGAATACTTACTGGATCGCTGCTCTTCAGGTCGGCAATTGGTAAATTCTTGCCTTCCACGAGGGTTAGTTTTAGAGTTGGCATCTGATGATGAATATATCGTTTTTTTGAACGGTTTCATATGCATAACGACAGGACTAATATGGGATGCTTGTCAAAGGATGACATTTCAATGTTGGATCAAGACGACATCACGAGTTCGTTGTGTGTGAAAAGAGGCGGAAGAAATTATTTAATGAATTAAATTGAGGGCACAATCATCATCAAGAAATATTTCTGTATCAACTGTTAAATATTATAATTATTAAATCTAGTGATGGTGATGATGGTAACCTGAAATAGATCAAAAAGTATGATACATGTGAGTATTCAATCTAGATAATGAGCTGTACAATTGTGTGAGATTACTTGTTCTCTTCTTGTTTCTTCTTTGATCCTTTCTTCTTCTTAGTGATATTTGCAACGTTTTTTTGTCTTGATTCATACGTGTTGGCACTCTCTCTTTGGACTGGTTTGGATTCCTTCTCACCTTTGGCTCCCTTTTGGATCGTTTCCTTGTAATTGACGTTGGTTCTTCTTCTTGGTCCAGAGAGAACGTTTTTCTCATCAATATCGCAATATTCTTTGGCAATTCTCTTGTTTGGATCAGTAGGCTTCTTGGTCTTCTTTTGTTTCTTCACACCTTTTGTGGATTTCTCGGTGCTTGGTGTGGTTTCTTCTTCGTTTTCTTCCTTCTTATCTTTCTTAGCAGCAGGCATTTTGATGATCAAGATGATGACGAATGGTGGACTTAGCGGGAGCGTTCAAAGCTTCACAGGCGTTTTTTTTTGATGTTTTTCTTCTCAAAAATCGATTTAATTTTTTACAACGGACAGGCGCCACTCTTTTCCGTTATATAATTTTTCAAGATTAATTTTGTAACGGCTCCTTGAAAAGAACAACTCTTATTCTCTTCATCATGAAAGATTGAACAAATCTGCACTCTTCCTCAGCGAATCTTGTTAAAGAACGTCAAGCATATGCTCTTTGGATTGGAATTTAATTAATTGTAGAGGATCCATGGACCGACCCGACTCCTCATGACAGAGATGGAGTCTTCCGACACACTCTCATTGATGATGGGTCTTGAAATCTCTCCCCACGATCGTTATGCGTTACTTTGTTTTCGGCTTTTCCTTTGAGAATACTGACTATTAGTATGAATGGAGAGAGCAAATCAACAACAATAACAACAACGATAGTAGTATGAGACTTCTCATTGTTGCGCCTGAATGGTGAAGGAATGATTTACTCCTTTTCAAGCTTGAGTCTCGCTTTTGATATCTCTCTCCTCCAACAGAGAATCATTGTTCGCCCCCTTCTCTCTCAAATTCATCCTCATCACAACAACAACAACCCCTCTACGGCAGGTAGGAGGATGTATTTAGGAGAGAGAGATCTATCTTAGTTTTACTCTTTCAAGAAATACAAGCCTCTACATTCAATACAGGTGCTGCAACAAGTGGTGATTTAAGATCTAAAAAACAAGACTCTGTTGTTGTTTCTAGTTGTTTGCATGAGCCACAACTCTTTCTCTCTTCCGAATCATCAACACTTTCATCATCATCATCACTTCAATTATTATTTGATTATTTCAGAAGAAGAGAAAGAGTTCAAAGATGGTCAACTCAGCGACTTCTCAATCCATCAGTGATGATAAACTACTGCAAAGCTCCTCTCAAGAAAAGGTTGTCCTCCAATTATTGTCGGATGATTCCGATGACTCTTCTTCATGCGTTTCTTCCATCGTGGATGATGTTGCTGCTTCTTTTCAACCCTCCTTCATCTCTATTGTATTTTCAGAGTATGAGGATGAGAAGGACCATCGCGTAGAGAAACAAGATCCCAAAAAGAAGACGGAAGAAGAAATGGACCAATCTCATCGTCATTTGCTACTCCTCAACGATCACAAAGCACAAACAGTCGCTCAATCCACGATTGCATATTCATCACCACAACGTTGTGAAGAGCGAATATTCCTTAGTACCTCACCCCCTCTTACAAAAACTCCCTCTCAAACGTCATTGTCCGTCTCAGGAGGTAATGGTCCTCATCGAAGAGTTTCTAAAACTCTGGTCAGTCTTTCAAAATGTTTATTGGGAGATTCAAATGCGTTGAAGGTTGGAAGTCATATTGCTGAACGGTCGCCATCGCCCTGTTTTGAAACTGGATCAAGCTCCTTTACAGATCATTCATTTGCATTACCTCCCGATTTGTTTGAAGCAGTGACACCTAGGTCACCCAACTCACCCTTTCAAGTGGCCACATATACATCTTTTGAGAATGTCTCCACAAGTCCGCTTCTTTCTTCGAGTGGAAATATTGATGGAAAAGACCTCATTGACCGATTGACTCAAATGATCAAAAACAACGAATTGAAAACCAAGAGTTCAAATCCACCCATTTCCTTTTCATGTGACTATGGATCAAGACCAAGTTCCCCTACTTATTTTGAAGAAAGTCGGTCTCCATCTTCTCCAAGTCCTCATAACAAGTGTTATAACTCCCCTACACCTTCCTTACACTCATGCGATTCATTTGCATCAATGAATGCTGAAACGGTTCCAGAGGAATTGTTTGGACCTCACGTGGTGGAATGTGTTCTCAATGAAATGCTATGGCCTCAATACTCATTTTGTACATTGTGCCATTTAGCTGCTAGGTTCAATAGCGTAGAGGTGTTAGGTTGGCTCAAAGATTGTTGTTGTGACGAAAATTGTCAAACTGGTTCTTCAGAACATCGAACGGCCCCAACTTTTGAATCTCAAGCGTCACCAAGCATCAGCATATCAACGACAAATTCCCCAACAATGAATGATAACGATGTAAGAATTCAAATTATATCTTCATCTCCTCCAAGGCTGTCTCTTGCAGTCAACATTGATAGCCATTCTATTCCAACAGAGTTTCATGATATTGTAACTTGTAACTCTGCAAAGGCAAGCTTTTCATCACAAACAAGTTTGATAAGCGACGAGACAAATACCTTGACTTGTAGCACCATTCATCCTTTTACCTCAATCCAATATCAAGAAGATCAAACCAGTCTCACGAACGTTCACACCCATTCTCAAGATTGCATTAGCAGACAAAAGAGTTTATGGACAACACTGGATAGCATGTCAGCCTCACCACTTCTGTATGCAGTTCAATATGGAGCTCATGAAGCATGTGTTTTTCTTTGTAGCCAACCTGCTGTTCAAAGTCAAATCAATTTTACCAGGGATCGATTTGGAAATTTGCCTATTGTCCTTGCTCTGAAGAAAAAAGATTTCGAATTGTGTGATTTGTTGCAACTATTTGGAGCAAAATTTGACGTGATTGGAAGCGTATCATTAGGTGAATCACTTCTTCACACAGCTCTAAGAGAACATGATATTGTAACAAGTGAATATCTCGCAAAGAAGAATCCAAAAATTATTTTGAAAAAGAATCAGAGAGACGAGGTGGCATTGTTTAAAGCGCTTCACGATTTCAGACCAACAGGTACTAACAAACAAATGACAGTCTCAGTTCCAGGGAATCCAAACTCACCACCAAAAAACACCAATGTAAAATCAAACAAAATTGTTAGAGATTCAAATACTCTTGGTAGTCATGCCGCCACACTAAAAGAGTTCTTGGAAAAGGCTCCTGAATGGTTTGGCAATGATTTACTCGAGAAAGCTGTCACATGTAAGAATAGTTTTGGAAGAAATATTTTACTTGGTATGTATTTCTTAATGATTGTTGCAAACACCTAACCAATACATTTGATGTTAGAATCTGTTGCCATTAATGATATTGACTCAACGAAAGTAATTTGTGACTACATTTCCAGAAAATTGGAAATGTGTGTTGGAAGGACAAGGAAACAATTTGAGGATATGGTGTTTGAGCCAGAAAAGATCAATTCCATGAACATTCTTCAACTAGCTACTCAAATCTCACTTCAAGTTTGTACTTACAGGTCTGAAGAAACATTTGTTGTATATAATGGACTTTGTTGGCTTTTTGAATGGTTAAAGAAGACTTTTTCTATGTCATGTCCTCATGCTCTCGCACAGTTGTTCACCTCAAAAGATGCAAAAGGAAGAACAGCCATAGAAATAGCTGCCAAAGAAGTCGAAAACAATTTCTCCTGTCATATGTTCCATCAGTTACTGTGTGAAACTGAATTGACCTGGAAATCCCTTGTCCCAGCTTTAACTTCTGAAAATTCTTTGCCCTCAATCAACATCAGTTCACCCTCAAAGAGTGGTTCCTCATCCTCAGAGACCATGACACTCTCTCCATCGCCGTCTTTTTCTTCCAATATCAACAACAATGGCAACCAGGGTGGCTTCTTTTCCAAACTGAAATCGAAACTGCAAAAACGTAATTCCTCAAGGAATCTCAAAGAATAAATGTGCAATTCGTTCATGTTGTAATTGTAGACATGAGAGCGTGCAACTTGCTTTCTCTCATCAAGATTAAGCTGAGGGCAACAAGAAGAGGATCATAGACCAATTCATCAAAGATTCAGAAATATTTGAGAGGAATGTTAAATCATTATTATTGTCAGGGAGGGTATTTCATTATTGATTCCAATTCCCAGATTTGTTACTCATGACAAATTCCTTCTTATAGATGGAACTTGATGTCAAAGTTGTTTCCAACTGAACATGTTTAAACGGAGCGATCTTTTTGAGGCCGGAGCGATTTTCTAAACCCATTCTTATGCGATTGACCTGTCTTTTAAGAAACACAACTATCACAAAAAATTGACATGACTCCACAACCATTCGTTCCACCTACCATGAACCAACCACACAACATGGATCCAAAACAAGGACACATTCTCCATATGAAAATTCACTGTGGACGAAATCTGCCAAAAGCCGATACCTTCGGAACCATTGATGCCTATGCGGTCGTCCATATTCCTTTGTTGAATACGAATGATGTTGGAAGCCTCTCTCGGGCCATTCATAAAACCAAAATCATTCCCAATCAAGTGGATCCCGTATGGAAATTCCGAATCTATCAACACGATGTAGATCTTTCCAAGAATATAGAAATTCAAATCTTTGATCATGATTCCCTGAGTGAGAATGATTTGGTTGCAACTTGCGAAATTCCACTGAGCGGCCAATTATTGGCATCAGGTCCCATCTATAAGAAGGAATTTGTCTTGAATACGGTTGGAAAATACAAGCCTTATCGCTCTGGCTCTTCAAGTTCCATTGTGGTCTCGTTGGGAATTGGTAGCTCTCATGAAACAGTCTGTACAAAACTCATGACTAGCTTTCCATCGAGTGTTATCCATCAAGATGTGATGAAGAAGAATATTGTGTTTCCTCTCGGATTTTCTAACTTGTGTATGAAGATTTCCATGAAGAAACATTTGAAAATTTCTGTGCTGGATTGCAACCCAACGAGAAATTTGGTGGTTCACTTTGAGATTCCTGGACGGGATTTTCGATCCAAGATGACCTTCCATCAGACTCCAAAGAATGTTCAGGGATATCAAATGTATAGACAAGTCAAGTTGAAGAAGCCTATTAATTTGTTTAAGGGTTATTTCCCTTATATTAAATTAGTGACTTCTCCGTTCGTTGTGGTGGAAAATTGCAAGATGAATGAAATTACAAAAAAACATGGATGGACTGGCATGTTAGATTATAGTACGGCTAAGAAAACACTTCATAATATTATCCCTGATGATCGTCACGAAAATATTTACATGATTGAACCTTATTATTACCTTAAATGTGATTGGGATTCTTCAAATTCTGACCAAAAGGTTGGTATATTGGATCCCTATCGTTCTCAGGGTTATCACGTTGAAATTACACACAAGAACAAGTCAGGAAGTGAAATTGAATATTATGCTGCTCCAAAACGTTTGCTAGAAACTCAACATTATTGTGGAGCTTGTTCTGAGGTCAATGATTTGAGTTATCCAGTGCTCCACTCAGACATTAACATTTTACTTTTGAAAAAGACTCAACCTGTGTGTTATGATTTGTTTACTTTCGCTCCGGTCTTGTAATGTAGCAACTACTAGTGGAAGGTAATAAGCAATAAAGCTGAAATTCGAATTTTCGGTCTGTCATGCAAGAACACAAGTTGGTGAACTCGATAAAAAAACGCCCGTTTCACTGATGTCTTCATACAGGGCAACCAAGAACTCAACCACAAATAACAACAGCTCTTCCATCCTATGTGATCCCTTTCTTTTCACTTTAGGTAATTTCTCTACAGAAGGCTTCCTCTCCTTCCGTAACGTATGGTTTGTGTCCAGACGCCCTCACCACTCCCATTCTTTCAGGCCTTTTCCTTGGCCTCTTTCTGTTCCTCTGTCTCGTCAACACACTGGGCATCATCACATTCCGAAAGAGTGGTCTCATCAAATCGAGAGATCCTCTCTTGTTTGTCTGTATGTCTGTACACGCAGTATTCATTGCTGGATTTCTACTGAGATATACCATCGGAAGAAAGGTCTTTCCATGTGCGCTCTATACTTTGCTCTATTTCTTATTACCAGCAGCTGTTTCATTGCCGACGACCTTGCGGTGCATTCGTATTTACACTTTGTATCGGTTGAACTTGTTCAAGACCAATATCTTTGATATCGACCATGTGCCAGCAAAGCCTTCTTCGGACAAGGAGAAGAATCATCATAATGATGGATCGAACCAAGCTCTCAAGCATCAAACAGGAACGAGTAATGGTGCCGAGACACCAATCATCAAACAAGAAGAAGAAGAAGAGGAATTAATGGAAACTTCTTCGAGTAGGATGACCGCACAAGTAAGCGGCTCGACGGATGAAAAGCACACAATCGTTGACAATAAGCAACAACAAGAACCATCACCATCATCAACCACAACCTCTCAAGTAGTACTTCTACTCCCACCAGCAGATACATCGGGAATGACTGATTCAAGTGCTATTGTTACATCAACCCACACCACTACCACTACTGCCACTACCACGAACACTCCAACTGCTGTGGAAGATGAAGCTCTTCTGAAGCTCGAGAATCCCATGAGTATCATCGTTCGCCAACAACAAGCCATCGATGGTCTCTCCTCTCTTTCATCCGTTCATACTGATATCATTACCAACAATACCAACAACAACATGAACAACACGGACCCAACTGATGATAAAGAATTCACCTTTACCTTAAATTCAAAATCTGTGTGGGACATTTCAGATTCGAGTCAAGAAGTGAAAGCACAAATTCGTATCATGCAAACCCTTTCCTTTCTCTCCAGTTACAAATTCATGATCCTATCCTATTCAGTCTTAATTGTATTTCAAGTGGTGCTGTGGCTACTCTTCGGAGGTATTGAAGAAATCATATTCTCATCATCATCCTCTCAACAACAAGAAAATCAAAGAGTTTTCCTTCTCGAGGGAGGTCTTTTCGTATTCAATCATGGATGTGGACTCTCCACCAATTTTATCATCATCTTTGCCTGTGTTTCCATCTTGTACATTGTTTTAGAAATTATTGCCTTAATCCTGTGTTTTAGAGCTGATCGGGATACTTGGAACATGAAACGAGATACCATTCTATTGGTGATTCTTCAAGTGATTTGTGTGATTTTATTTGGAATTACTGGAAATGTTTCCTTCATTGTCAATCTGACGGATTACCTGCTGCCTTATGGCTACACCTTGGTCATGTATTCGTTTTTTGAAATTTTAATTTACATGTTTGTTCCATTGTTGAAGGCATTGAGAGAGGAAAAACGATTCAACAACAGTGATAGCCATCGGAGTAACAATCATCATCATCATCATGGAAAGAATCTTGGTTTGAAAATGATGTGGTCACAAAGACGTCATGAAGGAAAGAGTTTGTCTCCTTCTTCGTCAGTTTCAACTCCAACGAATGCCTCCATGGGCGCCTCTTATAAGAACACCCAACATCAGTCTGAGATTGAGAGAATTCTTTTGAATAAGAGAACGTATGACATCATGTTGGATTTTGCAAGACGTTCGTACTGTGTGGAGAGTGTGTTGGCTTGGAGAGATATTCGAAGGTTTAAATCGAGCCGAATTCATAAGAAAAAAATCGCTCAACACATTGTGAATACCTATCTCACGGTTGGAAGCCCTTTTGAATTGAATATTTCAAATATTGAAAAAAAGAGACAAGAATATTTGACAATTCTGAATAGTGACACGAAGATTACGTCTCCTTTCTTTGATAAGCTCGAAGAACATTGCTTGTACGATATGAGGGATGTGTTTACGAGATTGAGAAATGCAAACAAGGAAATTGATGATTTGGTGAATTCATTTGATTGAGACGATGAAAATGATACACATATTTCTTTTAAAATTTTGCTTTAATACTTTAAATTGTGAACGATCATCAACAATGAATCAAATGATCATCGAAGCGGTTCAATAATCACAAACGTTGCTTAATGCTCACACAAGGAGAACTCTCTCTCAAATTTCTCTTCATTTTCTTGCTTGACATGGTATTTTCTCTCTTTCATCAATGCAGCACGTTCCTCTTCTGCTTGCTTACGAGTCATGTGAGGAAGGAAACAAACAATATTGTTCACAACCACTTCTACAGGCAAAATCTTGGATAAGATTAAACATCGGTTGGTAAGGAAATCTCGTCTCTGTACATCAACATCACTGGTTGAAACGATTGGTTTGAATGGATCGACAACAAAGAACACTAGAATCTTTCTCTTTGCAACCTTAGTTGGATCCAATGGGAAGAAATGTCTCACTCGATGTTGACAGGTGTTAGGGAAGACAATGCAAAGATCTTGTTTAGTTTCCACACGACCCAAATAGCGGAATAACAAATCTCCATCATGAAGTCCACTCCTGACAAATGCTTGTTCCACATTATCCTGTTCATAATAGATTGAAGTATCATCAACACTGCTTCTGAATTCTAAAAAACTCTCCTTCACATTTTCAGTTTCATAATAATAAATTCCTGTTGCTATAATGTTCTCGTGTAGTCCCTCTGTGTGCCAAGTACCTCCAGGATAGTATTGTTGTTCGGGTGTGACAATGATATTCGCAGCCTTAACAATGACTTGAATAGTATCTGTTCTGGCATACTTCTTGATAGGCTGAATAAAACGTCCCAAAATTTTACAAATGACATCTTGTAAAGATTTCTGAGTGACTGGATCGACATTGTTGATATAAGACAATGGCTCAACAGAATATTCTCCAATATTCTCATGAATTTTGAAATTTGTCGGCATCCACGAATAATTAATGACAGGTTCAGGTTTCTTATACCCTCTCATGTAAAAAGAAGGTCGAGAATTATCCTCTTTCTTTTCGTTTTTTTTCTTCATCTTTTCCAAATATTGAGCTCCCTCAACGAAATGACTATACTTTTTTGAATAACAATAAAGAGATGGATGAATAATGTCCAAAACTTGATGATTCGAACCAGGATGCCAATCCCATTTTTCTTCAGGAGTATTCTCCACCAAGGTCTCAATTTCTTTTTTTAACTCTTTCTTCAACTCTTCAGGAATCAAATGATCATAGGTTTGACACACAAAAGAGGACACCTCTTGAAAATGAAGGGCACAATGAGAACAAGGACACAAACAAAATTTGGTATCTCTTGGATAATAACCGTTTTCTTCTTCATCGTCCTCTTCGTCATTTTCTTCGTCATCTTTTTCGTCCTCTTTTTCGTCCTCTTCATCCTCATTGTTGTATCGTTTCTTTTTGGGTTTAGCTCCACAACATCCACAGCAATGCTTGACTCCACGACCTAAAAATTCAATATCCCGAAGAATATCAAACGCGACTTGAACACTGGCCAATGAAATGTCTTGCTCCAAACATTCCTCTTCCCATTTATCAGAGAGGTCATCCAATTTAGTCTTCCAATTAGGTTTCTTGACCACTTCCTTGACGATTAGATCCACATGAAGAGGATTCACTTGAATGGGATGATGTTTTTTGATATTGTGGTTGTTGTTTTGGGTTTCATCATCATTGCTGAGATCCTCTTGGCTCGAATGAGAGAATTTTCTCAATTTCAAATGTTTTCCAGAGTGGTCCGATTCTTCAGAGGGTGAAGAAGGTGGAAGTTTGTTCTTGATGGCCATGAACGATTGTCAATTAATTTTTTTTTGAAATCGCTCGTCTTGTTTGGGCGAGGGAAATAATTACCAAAAAATGCTGGAAATCCAAGGACTGATGGAAGTTGTAAAGACGAACAATTGATTTTTATGGACGAGAACAACATCAAGGCAATTTCCTTTTCAGCTCAATGACGCTCTCAATATGATCCTCCTCACTTGAAAATTCTTCTTTTCAGTTATTCTCAAATTTCAATTGCTCATTCTGAATCAAAAACAACAATCATCCTCCGATCCAATTCATCATCATTATCATCATGACCAATCCAACCACTCAATCTTCTACACCTCGAACCCTCCAACAACAAACACCACCACAAGAAAAGAAACCAATCTCCGTCTTTCATGAAGGTGAAATTCAATTTCAAAAGAAAGCCAATACCTTTGAATTTGCCAATACTCTCGGACCTCGTAAAATCACTTCAAATGTTCCTCCCGAATATCATCATTTCCTCACCAATCGTATGGTAGTGTATGTAGCCTCTTATAATGATCAAACCCATGAATGTTGGTGTTCTGCCATTTGGGCATCTCCTCGTCAAGAACATTTGAAAGAATTGGAGCATCAAGTTCCGTCCATCATTGAGAAGTCATCCTTCATGAAAGACTCTCATCTTCCTTCGTATATGGAAGAGAAGGATTATCCTTGGATTCCTCTCTCGACCATTGTTGAGGCTGAAGATACAGAAGAACGTTTATGCTCCTTGTATGATCCGTGTAATGTTGCGAGTGGCGATTCGTGGCTGCATTTGAATTATTTGAATGCGAATCACTTTGAGAAATTGGTGGATGTGTCTCGAGATGGAAAGATCATTCGAGTGTTGAAGGCACCTCACGATCAAGATCCCATGTGGCAATCGTGTCGAGAAGGTGGAAAATGGGTGAGTTTGAATTTTCTTGATCTCGAGTCAAGAAAACGCTACCGAACGAATGGAATTCTCACAAAAGCCATTTCCTCTTCTGGATTTGAAATAGAGGTGCATGAGGCCTTCTCCACATGTCCAAAATACATTCAACAGAGAGCTGTTGTGAAAGTTTATAAAGAGGAAGAACGAAAAGAAGGAACAGTCAATTTGCTAATGGCTGATAAAACCATTACACCAGGAGATGAATCTTCATATTTGAGTGAAGATGTGATCAACTTTATCGTGGGTTCTGATACCATGATGATTGCTACGATTCATCAAACGGTTGGGGCAGATTGTAAGTTGAATATCTTTTTGAGAGATGGATTAATGTATTCTCTAAAGGTTCACATCGAGGAGGAAGACCTGGTTTTATTAGGGTCTTGGATAGAAAAACGTTAGTTTGGGGAGATTACGTTGGAAAGGGTATGTTATTTTGTGGAATTGTGGTTGTTGTGATCAGTGTTGTTGTCATAAAACATGAAATCATTATTAATATCCACCATTCATGATCGTTGGAATATCATGATCTATTTTAGGCATGTTTCAAACTCTTGGAAATACTGTCAATTGTCCAAATGCAGGACTTTTATTTGTGGATTTCGAGAATGGACATCTTCTTCAACTTACAGGTGATATTCAAATAATATGGAGAGAGGTTGGAACAAGTTTAGATGGTAGTGACCGAACAGTGCTTTTTCACACCAAAAGATGGATGCTTTTTCAACATTCATGTCCATTTGTTTGGCAGTTTGTCTCCATGTCCTCTCATAATCCTTTACTTAATGATATGAACGAGTTGGAAAAATTGAATCCAAATCATTCTCTTCCAGTGGTCGATGTTGCTCCTCTCATGAAACAGAAACATTTGAAAGATATTGTACATGCACGATTGGAAAGAATTATTCCAGTGACAGCAGAAGTCAAAACTTTTGGATTTAAAATTTCAGAAAATAAGACAGTCTCCATTCAACCGGGACAGTATGCCACATTTACTTTGTCTTTGGACCATCCATATATGAGAAGTTGGACCGTGTCATCTGCACAATATGTGACCCTTCCAGATATTCACCAAGACACGTCCATTAACAATACGAACTACTTTGAAATATCGGTCAAAAAGCAGGATCTTGGGGCAACAAGTACCTGGTTGCATGATCATGCAAAATATGGAGATGAACTGTTTTTAATGGGTATAGAAGGAAATTTCACATTGCAAACGTCATATCATGTAACCAAGAAAAAGAAGTCACAAAACAAAGAAACTCAGTGGAAAGTCTTGTTTTTGAGTGGTGGAATTGGAATCACTCCTTTCGTTTCAATGATCAGAGGTGTTTACAATAGCTTGAAAAAGTCCATTCTTTCCCAAGATACCAAGCCTAATATTGTAATTATTCATAGTGAAAAGTTTGAAAAGGAGATTCCCTTTAGAGAAGAGCTGGAAAATTTACACAAGGAAAAAGTGATTGATCAACTCTTGTTCTGTATCACACGAGAGAAAGATCTGAAAGGAGAAAGTATAAAATGTCAACGTTTGGATAAGAGTTTAATAATGGACACTGTCAAAGACATTGACGAAAGAGTAGTGTATGTTTGTGGACCTGGACCATTTAATGATAGTATGATTCGAATTATGCAAGATTTGAAGGTTCATGCAAAGAATATTATGATTGAAAGCTTTGATTATTAAAATCCCAACCAAGAAGAATACATGGAAAGATAGCACCAACTCACAAAATGTCGTCTAAATGTGATTTGTACTTAAACGTCAAATAATAATATAATCATCTCCGCCATGATGTGGCTCCTTGTGATACTGATTAAAGGGTTCTTTTGATATGGTGTCCACAATGTGATACTCTGTAAAGACTTGTCTTGCATTGACCCACACTTTATATTGGTTATGCTCCCTTGCATATTTAAAATCGTCATTAGTAAACCAAGTGCAATCAAAGAATGCCAATTTTGAGAATGTCCAAATATTTTGAATGGAATATTGTGAAAATAAGTGTTCGTACTAGAATGAACGAACTTTTGGATAATAAGCATTTTCTAAATCCAAAACTTTCAATTTGGCAAATAAAAAAGCAATCAAGTCACCCTTTTCCAAGTTTCCAGACGTGGGTTTAAATTCCTCCAACATGGACAATACAAAGTTGTTATTCATGAGCAGCGAATGACAACTGTTAGCATATTCCTTTCGATGATTCCACACAACTGGAAATTTTTCTTGGATGCTCATTTCAAAAATCGCTGTCATTAAACCGTCATCTTGTTCAATGCCCTGACCTAGATCAGCTTTTTCATGAGTGGCCTTGTGGACATCCAAATAATCCCTATGAATGTCGTATGCATTAAATGGTTTGGCATGCTACAAATTTTTTCAACTTTGGATTGCCGTTAAAGGAGCCCTTTCATTGCATCCACTGTCATGAAAGAGGACTGAAATTACGTCCTTGTTCAAACTACAAATAGATGCTTTATTTGTGGCCAAATGAGTTGGAGAAATATCGCATGGAAGTGCAACGTACTGCTCTAATTGAGATCTGTCCACATTCGGATCCGAAATAATAGAGTTGCTATTCAGATCTATGAAATTCTTCACAAGAGAATCAACCAATTTGTTTGCAATCCAGTCTGATGACACGATCAACCTTTGCTGCTGAGGTGTGTGAACAATTTTTTGTGATTTTTGCGCTTTTTCTGTGAATTAAAATCGAAAAAGGAATCTCCGAATAGTACGATGATTTCAGTGACGAATTTCAAAATCACAAAATGAGCAACAATCGTTCTCTCATCGTTTGGTCTTTAGAACTTTCACCAGTAGTTGTTTAAAACAGTCTAAAACAATGGGTTTGTATGCAACTTCATCAAACCCTTGATTAAGCAGTTGCTCCCTTAATTCCCATGTGTTTGCTGTGACTGCAATAATTCTTGCTGTTTTGGTATGGTTTCCTTGACGTTCTACTCTCCTTATCATTTCACATGTTTCTTTTCCACTAATTAAAAACGAAATTCAATTCGACGTCAATTGCATTCTTTACATACCTCAATATTGGCATAACACAATCTAATAGAATTAGATCGTATGATTTTTGTTTGTATTTCTCAAAGCATTCCATACCGTCCTTTGCAAGATCAATATCCTTAAAGCCAATGATTTTCATCATCTTGTCGAGTACTTTTCTGTTAATTTCATTATCATCCGCAAGCAACACAACATATTCATCAAATTTGATGTCAGATTCATGGATAAATTCTTTGTTCAAGTGTTCATCTTGATTCGATTTATCTTTTTTCATGGAATTGGAGCATTCACCATTTGTCAACATTATTAATGCCTCTCGAAGCTCATTAAATCTCACTGGCTTTGCAAGATATCGATATTCCATATAATTTCGTCTTGCTCCTCTGTCTGAAGTTATAATGAAATTAAGGGTGGGAGATATATTTCGCATATTTTCAAATTCTGTCTCCTCAAGAAATAAAAAATCTGGACAAGTTGTCTTTAGTAACGAGGAAATGTTTTGGTTGTTGTCAAACTCTAATATTTCTCTGAATTGGTTAAATAATTTCAGATAACATTTCAAAACATCTCTAAAACATTCATCTTTGTCAATGATCCAGGCTGTGTTTGTCATATTCATTTCTGCATCTTTTTTGGGAATATTGAGCTCATACACGTCCTCAACTCTTTCTAGTGGTAAAATAATAGTCATAGTGGTTCCTTTGTTCACAACACTTTTAACAGTTATTTGTCCATTCATTTTGTTAACGAGCAGCTTTACAATGCTCAAGCCAAGTCCATTTCTATTAGTATATATTAGACTACTTCCTCCATCACCCAATTTGTTAATATTTTCTGATTGCATAAAGTATTGTTCAAAACCTAATTGAATGTCCTCGTGCTTATCAATTATATGGAAGGGTTGAAATAAGGTATGTATTTGATCTTGCGAAATACCACATCCAGAATCTATGCATTCTAATTTCACAAAAGTTGTTCCTGAGGAATGATCAATTGATTGAGAGAGCCTTTCATTTTCCCAATCTTTTATATCTTGTTCCGTGGCAATGCAGCAATTCACTCTCACAAATCCCTGTTTTGTATATTTAATAGCATTTGAAATCAGATTCATCAATACTTGGCTGATCCTAATTGAGTCTCCTTTTACCATTGACGGTAATTCAGAGACATTGCAAAATGCATGCAATACAATTTTCTTTTCGTGAGCAAGATGAGAAAAAACACCCACCAATGAATCCACCAGAGATACAATTGAAAAAGGTTCTGACTTGATGACTATTGAACCAATTTCAAGAGAGCTCATTTGTAAGGATGAAGACAAAATGTGCAAAAGTAACGTTGCATTTTCCTTAATATCTTCCAAGGTTTCAGATATTGATGCATTTTTAAGGAAGCAATGCTTACAACTATGTAAACACTTTTCTCCTTCGAATTGGTGGTGCAACACTTGTAAACTTCCCATAATGCAATGGAGAGGATTTCTTGCTTCATGGCTCAAATTGGCAATGAATTTCGATTTTTCAGAGCTTTTTACCTTTTCCTTCGCAATTTCTACTTGTTGTCTGGTGAATTCTCGATTCGTTTTGGACAAAGCATCAGAGAACAAGTAGGCACCAAGAGTGACACCACATTGTAGAATAAACACTTCTGCCAGTTTCGAATAAAAGTTACTGATGTCCTCTTGATGCAAATTGTGTTTCCATATCCAAAAAGAAATAATCATTGCTGTACAAGCTCCAAAAACCAGTGAGAATCCCGAAAACAACATTAGCTTCAAATTAAAGCAAAAATTCTTTGTGGTGATGAGAATTTTAAAGGTAGAAAGTACATGATAAGGAAAGAAAGGACCAAAAATTGTGTACACTAGTATTTGAACAAGTATCATTCCAAAAATTCGTAAAATGTTAGTTGCAACAAACGCCCTAAGAGTTTTCGGAATGATGGCATTCAAAGATATTTGAAAAACAATTTCACCCGCTGAAATACAAAGAAACATCCAATAACTCGGATGTGGACAAAAAGTCAAAGCGAAAATAATCGGCAGCACAGATAAGGACAACCCTGCCTTGTTATGACTCTTTCTTTGTTCCAACAAGTGATCCAATAATGCTTTCTCAGCATATTGTTGTTGAGGTTGTTCCGAAGCAGGAGAAGGATCAACAGGAACCTCCTCCTCTTCCTGAAATGAAGGTGGCTTTGAAGAAGGTGGTGTTTTAATCATCGTGTCGGGCATTCTGGAGCGAGTGGTTCGAATTTTTTAGGTATCTCTTTTGGAAAATCAGGACCGGAACTCGCCTTTGGTACTCTTCATGAATATTCATTGTGGCCAAAAGTAATGATCTATTGAAGAGCGCTGAATGGATGTTTGTTCTTGAGGAGATGTTTATTGGAATCACACATGCTCCTTTTTCCTCAATGAAAAGTTTAACCTTATTCCTTCATTGACAGAGTGTCGACAAGCTGCAGTTTATCTTTGAATATCGTGAGCAAAGTCCCAAAACAGTCATGCAACCCCCTCCGCAGTCAGGATGTCAAAAAAGATTTGATGATCACTCCTCTGTTCAAAAGCCAGAAAGAAAAATGTATCCCAATCATCCACCTTCTCATGTCCATCACAACAATTATTACCAGCAGATTCCATCACAACAACAACAACCTCTCGTGTACAATAGTCCACAACACTATCAACCCTCTCCACAACAACAACAACAGTTTGGATCCACTCAATATCAGAACTACTACGGAATCACTTCTCCTCCTCCTCCGATGATGATGGAGAACTATTCCCAGCAACCACAACATCAACAACCCGTAGTAGTGATGGGTGGATCTTCCATGCAAACTCAATCAACACCCCTTATGGGTTTGGGTTTGGGTTTGGGTTTGGGTTTGGGTTTGGGTTTGGGTTTGGGTTTGGGTTTGGGTTTGGGTTTGGGTTTGGGTTTGGGTTTGGGTTTGGGTTTGGGTTTGGGTTTGGGTTTGGGTTTGGGTTTGGGTTTGGGTTTGGGTTTGGGTTTGGGTTTGGGTTTGGGTTTGGGTTTGGGTTTGGGTTTGGGTTTGGGTTTGGGTTTGGGTTTGGGTTTGGGTTTGGGTTTGGGTTTGGGTTTGGGTTTGGGTTTGGGTTTGGGTTTGGGTTTGGGTTTGGGTTTGGGTTTGGGTTTGGGTTTGGGTTTGGGTTTGGGTTTGGGTTTGGGTTTGGGTTTGGGTTTGGGTTTGGGTTTGGGTTTGGGTTTGGGTTTGGGTTTGGGTTTGGGTTTGGGTTTGGGTTTGGGTTTGGGTTTGGGTTTGGGTTTGGGTTTGGGTTTGGGTTTGGGTTTGGGTTTGGGTTTGGGTTTGGGTTTGGGTTTGGGTTTGGGTTTGGGTTTGGGTTTGGGTTTGGGTTTGGGTTTGGGTTTGGGTTTGGGTTTGGGTTTGGGTTTGGGTTTGGGTTTGGGTTTGGGTTTGGGTTTGGGTTTGGGTTTGGGTTTGGGTTTGGGTTTGGGTTTGGGTTTGGGTTTGGGTTTGGGTTTGGGTTTGGGTTTGGGTTTGGGTTTGGGTTTGGGTTTGGGTTTGGGTTTGGGTTTGGGTTTGGGTTTGGGTTTGGGTTTGGGTTTGGGTTTGGGTTTGGGTTTGGGTTTGGGTTTGGGTTTGGGTTTGGGTTTGGGTTTGGGTTTGGGTTTGGGTTTGGGTTTGGGTTTGGGTTTGGGTTTGGGTTTGGGTTTGGGTTTGGGTTTGGGTTTGGGTTTGGGTTTGGGTTTGGGTTTGGGTTTGGGTTTGGGTTTGGGTTTGGGTTTGGGTTTGGGTTTGGGTTTGGGTTTGGGTTTGGGTTTGGGTTTGGGTTTGGGTTTGGGTTTGGGTTTGGGTTTGGGTTTGGGTTTGGGTTTGGGTTTGGGTTTGGGTTTGGGTTTGGGTTTGGGTTTGGGTTTGGGTTTGGGTTTGGGTTTGGGTTTGGGTTTGGGTTTGGGTTTGGGTTTGGGTTTGGGTTTGGGTTTGGGTTTGGGTTTGGGTTTGGGTTTGGGTTTGGGTTTGGGTTTGGGTTTGGGTTTGGGTTTGGGTTTGGGTTTGGGTTTGGGTTTGGGTTTGGGTTTGGGTTTGGGTTTGGGTTTGGGTTTGGGTTTGGGTTTGGGTTTGGGTTTGGGTTTGGGTTTGGGTTTGGGTTTGGGTTTGGGTTTGGGTTTGGGTTTGGGTTTGGGTTTGGGTTTGGGTTTGGGTTTGGGTTTGGGTTTGGGTTTGGGTTTGGGTTTGGGTTTGGGTTTGGGTTTGGGTTTGGGTTTGGGTTTGGGTTTGGGTTTGGGTTTGGGTTTGGGTTTGGGTTTGGGTTTGGGTTTGGGTTTGGGTTTGGGTTTGGGTTTGGGTTTGGGTTTAGGTTTAGGTTTGGGTTTGGGTTTGGGTTTAGGTTTGGTTTAGGTTTGGGTTTGGGTTTAGGTTTGGGTTTAGGTTTAGGTTTAGGTTTAGGTTTGGGTTTGGGTTGGGTTTGGGTTTGGGTTTGGGTTGGGTTTAGGTTTGGGTTCTTTGGGTTTGGGTTTGGGTTTAGGTTTGGGTTTGGGTTTAGGTTTGGGTTTGGGTTTAGGTTTGGGTTTAGGTTTAGGTTTGGGTTTGGGTTGGGTTTGGGTTTGGGTTTGGGTTTGGGTTTGGGTTTAGGTTTGGGTTGGGTTTGGGTTTGGGTTTGGGGTTTGGGTTTAGGTTTGGGTTTGGGTTTGGGTTTGGGTTTAGGTTTGGGTTTTGGGTTTGGGTTTAGGTTTTGGGTTTAGGTTTGGGTTTGGGTTTGGGTTTAGGTTTGGGTTTGGGTTTAGGTTTGGGTTTGGGTTTAGGTTTAGGTTTAGGTTTGGGTTGGGTTTGGGTTTGGGTTTGGTTTAGGTTTGGGTTTGGGTTGGGTTTAGGTTTAGTTCAGGTTTGATTTAGGTTTTGGTTAGGTTGGTTTGGGGTTGGGTTTAGGTTTGGGTTTAGGTTTGGGTTTAGGTTGGGTTTGGGTTTGGGTTTCAGTTGGGTTTAGGTTTGGGTTGGGTTTGGGTTTAGGTTTGGGTTTAGGTTTGGTTTGGGTTTGGGTTTGGGTTTGGGTTTGGGTTTGGGTTTAGGTTTGGTTGGGTTTGGGTTTAGGTTTGGGTTTGGGTTTGGGTTGGGTTTGGGTTGGGTTTAGGTTTGGGTTTGGGTTTGGGTTTGGGTTTAGGTTTGGGTTGGGTTGGGTTTAGGTTTGGGTTTGGGTTTAGGTTTAGGTTTGGGTTTGGGTTTGGGTTTAGGTTGGGTTGGGTTTGGGTTTGGGTTGGGTTTGGGTTGGGTTTGGGTTTGGGTTTGGGTTTGGGTTTGGGTTTGGGTTTAGGTTTGGGTTTGGGTTTGGGTTTAGGGTTGGGTTTGGGTTTGGGTTTGGGTTTAGGTTTGGGTTTGGGTTTAGGGTTTTGGGTTTGGGTTTGGCTTTGGGTTTGGGTTTAGGTTTGGGTTTGGGTTTGGTAGGTGGGTTTAGGTTTGGGTTTGGCTTGGGTTTGGGGGTTTGGGTTTGGGTTTGGGTTTGGGTTTAGGTTTAGGTTTGGGTTTGGGTTTAGGTTTGGGTTTGGTTTGGGTTTGGGTTTAGGTTTGGGTTTGGGTTTGGGTTGGGTTTAGCTTTAGGTTTGGGTTTAGGTTTTGGGTTTGGGTTTAGGTTTGGTTTGGGTT